AGTGTCTCGAAACAATTCAGTCGCCTCCTGGTAACACCTTTCCTTGACGACAAGGACCGATTTCTTTGGGTTTACGTAATATCCATATGCCGGTCCTCTCTTGTCCATTATGTCCCACCATAGACGGAGTCTGCGAAGACGAGCAGCAGCGGATGAATCGTCCGCGAACCATGACTGCACCGCACCCGCCTCATCCGCCAAACGTATCAAGGGCATTATTCCCAACGCGTACATGTACATTGCAAGGGGATCACCCTGTGTTGTCCCTTCTTGCGACAGACTTGGCTGTGTGCACGCCGGCTCTGTGACTGAGATGTAGAACGTGATTCATCTACACATGACGTCAGTGTGCATGATGTCAGTGTTCTCCTTGCAGCATGGCGACTTGCCAAAGTCATACTCATAGTCATACTCATAGTCATACTCATAGTCATACTCATACTCATACTGAGTCATACTCATACTCATACTCATACTCATACTCATACTCATACTCATACTCATACTCATACTCATACTCATACTCATACTCATACTCATACTCATACTGAGTCATACTCATACTCATACTGAGTCATAGCCATAGCAAGAGTTGGTGCACAAAACTTCAAAAGTCAATGACTGAGTAGATGGGATTTTCCCCTGTAGGCTGTAGGCTGTAGGCTGTAGGCTGTAGGCTGTAGGCTGTAGGCTGTAGGCTGTAGGCTGTAGGCTGTAGGCTGTAGGCTGTAGGCTGTAGGCTGTAGGCTGTAGGCTGTAGGCTGTAGGCTGTAGGCTGTAGGCTGTAGGCTGTAGGCTGTAGGCTGTAGGCTGTAGGCTGTAGGCTGTAGGCTGTAGGCTGTAGGCTGTAGGCTGTAGGCTGTAGGCTGTAGGCTGTAGGCTGTAGGCTGTAGGCTGTAGGCTGTAGGCTGTAGGCTGTAGGCTGTAGGCTGTAGGCTGTAGGCTGTAGGCTGTAGGCTGTAGGCTGTAGGCTGTAGGCTGTAGAGACCTTTGTTGTCCGGTCGACACATTAGCAAAGGCAACAACAAACTACAAAAGTAATTGCACATACGCTTAATTAATTACAAGCCCCCCCCCCCTCCCTCCGGGGCACTATTGAAGAGAGTGTTGAACGGTATGTACATCATGTATATACACAGGTATATCTGAATTACCAATACTCACAATGCAAGTACACAGCAGCACCTACATGTACATGACGTCATTGTACATGTATGTACACAGGTATACCTGAATTACTAATACTCACCATGCAAGTACACAGCAGCACCTACATGACGTCATTGTACATGTATATACACAGGTACTAGGTATACCTGAATTACTAATACTCACAATGCAAGTACACAGCAGCACCTACATGACGTCATTGTACATGTATCTGATGATAACCATGTTACAGAGTGTTCTCGAAACTGAGAGTAACGGAGTAAGACCTTGGCCTCTCTGGTCATGGCTTCTGCCTGTGTCTGGTGAGCTGTTTCCCTAGCTTGGGCAAAGAGCACTATTTTCACTGTTAGGACCCTGCACACTTTGTGTAGTGAAATAGCTATGCACTCGGATACCAGTATTAGGCCATCATGTAAGACCACTTGGGACCGTCAGATTACTAACTGGACCAAGCTAGCCGGGGTAAAATCCCCGTCGATGGACGCAGTGATGAAGAGAACGCTGGGTACAGAACTACTGTTCTATATTGTGTACTCGGTCGGTAGATGAACAAAAGAATACTGGGAGAAAAATTCATACAAAATTGTTACTCAATCTGCGGACAGAACTGCTTCGTCCTTTGTGGACTCATCAGCGCACCACAGAGGAAATGAGGCCGAACCTGATAGCAATGAAAAATAATGTTACCCAAAGCTAGATTTCAAAAGGCCAAAACGTACCTTGCCAGAGTGCTCAAACTAACAAGTCAGTGAGCTTTGCATACCGCAAGCAGAAAAGTCACCACCCCACACAAGAGTGCTCAACTGCTACAAGAGCATAATATTATTTTCATTTACTCCGGGAGGAAAACTTCATATACATAATTGCTACTCAATCTGCGGACAGCATGCTGTCTCGTTCTTTGTGAACTCCTCAGCGCAGCACAGAGAAAATGAGGCCAAACCTGATAGCAATGAAAATAAAATTTCCGAAGCCAGATTTAAATGAGGCCCGAACGTACCTTGCCAGAGTGCTCAAACTGACAAGTCAGTGAGCTCTGCGTAAAATATACATAATTGTTATGTATTCCGAGAGGAAAACGTCATATACATAATTATGCAGAGCTCACTGACTTCTCAGTTTGAGCACTCTGGCAAGGTACGTTCGGGCCTGATTGGAAATTTTTATTTCCATTGCTATCAGGTTCGGCCTCATTTCCTCTGTGCTGCGCTGATGAGTTCAAAAAGAACGAAACAGCATGCTGTCCGCAGATTGAGTATACATAATTGTTATGTTTTCCGGGAGGAAAACTTCATATACATAATTGTTAATCCCTTGGCCTGTAGTCGGCGATGCCACTCTGCTCACGCCTGCCCGTCACCAAACGACTCCCTACTTGTAGCGATCTCACTGGCCCATTGCCCGCCACCCTCCTGGCACCTCCACCCATCTGCTGTACACTGCCTCCCCATCGCCTCTTTCCGCGCTTTCATGCTCACACCTGCCTGTTGCCCGCCACCATCCTGGCACTTCCCCTGTCGCGCCTTGGCCCGCGCCAGCTTTCTCCCCATACCTCACACCAGATTTAGCGCTAAATTTGTTTATGCTTGTGGCTCTATGTTTATAAGCATACTGTTGGGTAGACCCGAGTATCAGTTGTCTGATGATTGCCTAGCGGCATGAAACTCAGAGTTACAACCAACCTGAACGTCCTCCGCTGAGTCTGCTATGTACTAAGCTCTGTCTCTGACATTGAGCACTCTCTGCAGCTCGGGGATCAACGGATTCGTTTATACATAATTGTTATGTATTCCGAGAGGAAAACTCCGTGAGTATATCCGTGATTTCTGCGAGGCACGCACTTGTCCCCACCAGCAAACTGATGGGCGGAGCAACTCTCTCAAACTCCTAGTACCTGCACGCACACAAACACTTGTGTACAGGGGATTGGTTCATGCCTGCCATGCCAGGCTCAAGCCCTCGCTTGTGTAAGTGTGTGTTTAACCCTGTGAAGGTTTGAAGGGCTAAGGAACGCGTGAAATATGCACATCCATCATTCCGCCATAACTTACGTTTTGTTTGCTTGGTTTTGGTAATCTAGGGCTCATTGAAACGCTCTTTCCGCTGCGAAGAGAATGAGGCCACGCTCAACTGCATGGATGCCAGAAAGCCTGTTAATTATATTAAAACATAAAGGCTCAACTGGATGACATTCTGTGCATCATTACTGTTCGCCCTGGTCTTCGTAATCACCAACATTCTACATCCCTGTCGTCTCTCACACACCACTTGCCAATGATAAGTAGTTCAGCCTGCAGCATTCCGCTGGGCTCATTCGCCAATTGATCAATTCAAACGGACCAATTCTCGCGACAAGGCGCAAGTTGGCAACAAGCAACAAACAGGTACACAACAAAGAAAACCGAGAGAACTTCTGGACAGATAGTGTCCCGAGGACCTATGACTGTATGAGTAGCGCAGCAGCTGACTGCAAGAAAACAATGCGAGAGATGTGGGTGGCTGGCACATTCACAGCACTGCGATACAATCCGTAGTAGATCTACGAATGCACGTATATGTACATGCGTAGCAACTGATTGGAGTAGGAGAAGCTGAGAACTACCTTAGTTAGCGCTCTGACGGGAAAGAGCGTGGAGATTTCGACCTCTCTCTCGACCTCTCACTCACTGTGACTCAGTCTGTACCAGCGCTAAGGATAGTGACTAGGGGGAGGGGTGGGGATGGTATTATTTTAGTAAACTACACAGTCATCAGCATGTTATGCAGCTAGAGCGGGTCTGTTGCACATTCCTTCTTTTCTGGCATCGTCGACCAGAAACGAAACTGACTACACAGAGTAGTGCTCTGGTACTCAGTAGACAGTACTCAATGATCTGGCCACCGAATGTAGAGCCTCCTTCTAGAACAATAGTAATAATCTTTTACAGGTTTAAGGCCAAGCAATTGCCCTTGTTTGCCTCGTTCAGTTACGGCGAGGTGCTGCTGCCACGGGTGAAACCATGCAGTGGATGTGTGCTGTGCTATCACTGGTGTCAATGTTTTCCACTCAATTCTTGCTAGCTGATAGTGTCAGCAGCATCGGTGGTGGACACTCTGGCGATGGCGTAGTGCTGCTACAATGTGCTCCGGGTCAACTTAACTGCAGCACGTCCACCGTAGCCTGTTCGTCGGACTCCGTCAATCCTGGACTGCTGGCGTGCAGTTGTGCCGACAACGTCAGTGCTGCTTCGTCTGCAGCAGGCGCAGGCTTACTGGGCGCATCGTGTGTTGAAATTGATCCGTGTCGACAGGGATCCGTGCAGAACTGCTCCAGAACCGGTGGCGTGTGCTTGAGCTCCGATGGCGAATCGAACTGCTACTGCAGCGGAAATAGGAGCGTTGTCGGCGACGAGGATGACGCCGTGTTTTGGTGTGTGCTGCTGACAGAAAACTGTGATAGCGGTGTTGAGGATGGGGTCGGTGCCACGCTAGGTAGTACAGCATGTGCTGCCATTGGTGGAGAGTGTGGGATGATGAGCAATGGTCGGACAAGGTGTGTGTGCAAGGAAGGTTACGCTGGTAATGGATACGTGTGTTCGGATATTGACGAATGCCATGCACACACTCACAACTGCTCTAGACCTGGTGCACTCTGTACCAATACCGCTGGTTCCTTCTTTCTTGTGCACGTGCAGACCCGGTTACCAAGGAAACGGGCTGACCTGCCATGACATCACAGAGTGTGAGCTGGGACTGCACAACTGCTCAATAGTGGGTAGTGGTTGGCAACCACTACCCACTATTGAGCAGTTGTGCAGTCCCAGCTCACACTCTGTGAACCACTGGTTGCAGCAACATGCAGGGATCATTTCTCTGTACTTGCCTAGCAGGTTTTGCTGGGGATGGCAGACTGTGCAGGGATATTGATGAATGTGTTAATAGACAACACACATGCTCACGATACGCTCAATGTCACAACTCCATAGGCGGCTACTCATGCGGTTGTCTTGGCAACTACTCTGGTGATGGATACCGATGCCATCCGGACGAGTGCGCCATGGGAGTGCATCGTTGCCATGGAGACAACATTGTCTGCCTGGACACGGAGGCAGGCTTTGACTGTATGTGTCCGGTCGGGTTTGAGCTCGACTCTACGCATTTTGCCTGTCAGGATCGTAATGAGTGCTTACTGGGCAACAGGTGTCAACAGAACTACATGTGTGTGAACCTGGAAGGTAGCTTTGCTTGTCTGTGTGCCTATGGCTTTGAGCTGGCCCGGGTGTCGGGTCGAACACAATGCCTCGATGTGGATGAATGTCACGCTGCTGGAAATGGGAACGACTGTGATGCTATCGGTGAGCTGTGCAGGAATGTACCTGGTTCGTATGAATGTCAGTGCCATGATGGGTTTGCTAGGTCTGAAGCAAACTCTTCATGCAAAGGTACGTGTGTAGCTTGCAGGATTACGATCAGAGAATTGGATTATTGCAGGTCTGCTGTATCTTGGCCGTTACAGGGTACCCAATAACCCGCCTGTTAAGCCACGTACCCGTTTGGAGACCTTAAAGTGTAACCGTTTCATCCCTACCTAGAAGCCCACGGGAATCACGACCCAGGGATGTTATTATTTCCAGTCAATTGACCCTGGATACGCAGACCACCTGTAAACAGAGACCACGTTTTGAAGGTGCTTTGAGCAGTCGTCTTAGACAGATTTCACCATACAATACTTCACTGTAAAAATTATAATTATCTTATCAGCTGCTTAGCCATCATAGGTATGTACCGTGTGATGTCAGTGTTTCTATCATACTGTGTGTCATATGTGCTATAGAAATCAATGAATGCTCCACCATGACTGACCCATGTCAGCCTGGGTCCCAGTGTCGTAATACAGAAGGCAGTTATGTATGTTCATGCTTGCCTGGCTTTCTACTGGTGGACGGGCAATGTCGTTCCTTGCCAGAATGCACTGAACAGACTGGTGAGTGGAATCACTTTCTCGTCCTACTCCTTCAAAATACATTTTTTTAACGTTCATAAGTTTGAGTTGAAACGGGTAACGCTAGAAGTAAAATAAAAAAAATATTGAATGTCACCACCAGGACTCAAACCAGCGAGCCTTGCTTATGTCCTGTGCTGCGCTACCACCACTCTATGACGTAGTTGTCATACTAGCAGCGTCTCTTCGGATTTCGTAACTCACACTTCCTGCGAATCCACACATGCTGGTGGGGCACAGCCTTCACTGTAATCGAACACTTCGCGTATAAACTAGGTCTGTGAGCACCAATACCTACTACGATGTGAAATTGCCATGGCGTTGAGGCAGTTAAAATGGGAATGTCTGAAGAACAATTCACTGCCACCACATTTGTATATTTTGTAAGTACCCGTAATAATATTAGGACAGAGAGTGCAAACTGCAAAGATCAGATCTGTACCTGACTGGGATAGGCATATGCGGATAATGCCGGCAGAAAAATTGGCAGAATTCGGTACTTTTCTGGTAAGTTTCATGCATGTTTGGTATGTGGATAAAGAAATGGAGCAGAATTCGAGGAATTGCACGCTACAAGGCTTGTATGGTTCTGCCAATTTCACTGCTTTTCGAGCAGAATCTGCCACCTTTTCGAGCAGAATCCGCCAATGCCTAGACTAGGATGTGAATTGTCCAAAAACAGGCCGGGACCAGATATGGCTATAACTTTTAAATCATGTTTGATCAGCATTACAGTGCAAAGACCAACCACCGGTGCAAGAAACAGTTGGATTTCATTATACATTATTGTGCTGCTTGCTGTTTCTTAATCTGAACAACACGTGCAGACATTGACCACTGCAATAGCACTACACATGCTCTCTGCAAGCTGTACAACACCACTGAGATGTGTCTCTGCGCCAACGGGTTCAGCATGTCCCAGCACGGCTGTCGGAATATGAATGAATGCATACGTGGGCAACACGACTGCTTCTCAATGGAACACACGGAATGCATGGATACTGAAGGCTCCTACGAGTGCCGTTGCTCGACAGGGTATGCACTGGACGACAATCAACGATGCCAAGATGTGGAAGAATGTGCAGACAATATGCACGATTGTGATGGTATGGAACTTGCCTTGTACACACAGTGCCTTTACAGAGCTCTCTGCCTTTCCTCTTCTGCGAAACTTCTTTGTTCTCTCATAGCATAGCTCGGGCTGCGAAAATAGGCTTGAAATTTTCACTACGCATTGCAACATCTCGGCGCTTTGCCAGGTCTCCATTCTTTGCGAATCTGAGAAAACTAACCCCAGGAGGAGTATGTGATACTGGCATCACCAACAACACAACAAATTGGCATCGCAGCGGCTCAGGCGACTTGGCAAACTACTTTCGGAAGTGACTTTCGTCCTGAAGAAAGTGAGATTCAAAATCCAAGTATTTTCGCACCATGCCACGATGACGTCACACATACACTGGTATGGGGGCGTGGCTATAATTCAAATATTTCAAGAACGCTTTCTCGTAGAGACTTTGGACCAAGACCATTCGACTCAGCGCCCGAAACTCTTTAGGATATCAAATTTTCATTTTTTCGTGGAGTTGATCAGCCGACCAGAGGTCTCGGCTTCTCAATTTCTCTTCACTGGGGGTTTTCCCCCGCTCACCTACATACGTGTTCTTTTCCTCACACACATTCTCACATTACCGATGACACATGCATGGCGAGTAGAATGAGAGAAAGGATGTTGTGTGAATGTCATGTCTTCTAAACCTTCTTTCCTATTGGACGTGAACCATGAACAACTGTGTAAGTGGGTCTGTTTGGTTGTCATCAGTAGTGTGACTGGCAACATAGGATTTATTTTATTTATACAAGCATGTCGACAAAGACAAGCAAGCCAACATGAAAATAACATGTTACTGTATCATCCAGTATGGGCATACATGTACCGACATGCAATATCTATGACAGTAGATTAGGCTATATCAGTCATCGAGCAGATGGTGATCTGCTTGTTTCGTGTTCCCTCTGCACATTCAGGCAATGCCACATGTCGAAACAGTGTAGGGACATTCCACTGTCTCTGCAATACTGGCTTCACAGGAACTGGACACACTGGTGGGTGTGAGAATGTCAATGAATGTGTGCATGGTCTGACTGCTAACACAAGAACTATGAATCCTGTTACCACCATGGCTCGTATTCCTTGCACGGCTAGCAACATGCAGTGTGCAGACACGGTTGCAAGCTATCGATGTGACTGCTTGCCCGATTACTACATGCAACATGACGGCCAGTGCAGACCCAGTAAGTCGTGACATGTTGACTTTGCGTACGATTCTACGGCACAGTGGCTGCATGCATGCAGTTCAAGGATGGATATGCAACTCAGTCTGAGAACAGTACTGTTTCATTGATCCCTTGCAATGTAGACTCATCCGCTCAGCACACAGGAATGAGGCACAGCGTGGTAGATGCAGCCATGGAGATAACAGTTCTCAGAATTTCTTCATTGTCTTTGTGTACGGTGAGCAGTGGTGAAACTAGTAAGTTAGCTAGGTATTGGTGGAGAATATCATGATTGCTTCCCTGGTCAGTTTAGATAATGACCACCAAATGTATACTGTGAGGATCATCTGTTGTCATGGTGATGCGAAGACAATACAGAGAGCAAGTATACTAATGATGTGTATGTGTGTGTGTATATGTGTGTGTGTATGTGTGCTTGTTTATATTATGTGTCTGATTGTGTGTGTGTATGTGTGTGTGTATGTGTGTGTGTGTATGTGTGTGTGTGTATGTGTGTGTGTATGTGTGTATGCATATGTGTGTCTGAGTGTGTGTGTGTGTGTGTGTGTGTGTGTGTGTGTGTATGTGTGTATGCATATGTGTGTGTGTGAGTGTGTGTGTGTGTGTGTGTGTGTGTGTGTGTGTGTGTGTGTGTGTGTGTGTGTGTGTGTGTGTGTACCCTGTATCTGTCATAGGCAGTGAGCTGTTCACACCATGGAGTCCACCACAGCCCGGAACACCCACATCATTGACATGGCCCATTCGAAAGTTTGATTACCAACAAGATCTGTGAGTCGATGGATATGTCTCCTCACAATACTTTGAGTGTGCTCTTGCCTTGCCTGCTTTCTTGTTATCAAACCATGAATACTGGGATGGAGGGGGGGGGGGGTAGCCCTTGCCTGCTTTATTGTTATCAAACCATGAATACTGGGATGGAGGGGGGGGGGGTAGCCCTTGCCTTGCCTACTTCCTTGTTATCAAACCCATGAATACTGGGGTGGAGGGGGGGGGGTAGCCCTTGCCTTGCCTGCTTCCTTGTTATCAAACCCATGAATACTGGGGTGGAGGGGGGGGGGGATGGTAGCCCTTGTCTTGCCTGCTTCCTTGTTATCAAACCCATGAATACTGGGGTGGAGGGGGGGGGGGGGGTAGTCCTTGCCTTGCCTACTTCCTTGTTATCAAACCAATGAATACTGGGGTGGAGGGGGGGGGGGTAGCCCTTGCCTTGCCTGCTTCCTTGTTATCAAACCCATGAATACTGGGGTGGGGGGGGGGGGTAGCCCTTGCCTTGCCTGCTTCCTTGTTATCAAACCCATGAATACTGGGGTGGAGGGGGGGGGGGGGATACGGGGGTAGCCCTTGGCTGATAATGTCTACGGTAGAGTTAGCAGAAAATGGTACTTTGCTGGGATATTCCATGCATGCTTGGTATAAGGATAAAAACACTGCCTTTCAGAAGAATCTTTCCTTTATCGAACATTGTACGCCAAGGGCACGTGGGGCGGGGGGCGGGGGGGGGGAGTGGAATTGAAGTCAGGGGTGGGCAAGAAATTTACTAAGACGAGCAAGAGCATGTTCTAGTGTAGCAGATTAAGCGACTACAATGCTATGTTACAATTTGAATTCTGAAGTACACTCACAATGTCAGCATGTACTGCAGCTGCTGCTGTTTAACAATGGTAGAAAATTATAACAAGAGAAGATCTATTTTCCAGAGTGAAGTAGGACAAGTTTATGACTTGATAGTCTTCTTCCTGAGTTGGCACTCCCCCCCCCCCCCCCACTACACCCCATCTCCTGGGTAGTTGGTCCATCTTTGTTGATGATCTGTTTGCTACTGCAGCCAGTACACAGTCATTGCCATCAACCTTGGACCAGCTACCTTGAGCAGCTCAACTAGCAGAGTGTTTCATGTTTCACCCGACATTCTATACAACTTGACCGGACCCAATGTCTACTCTTACGCTGAAGCACTGGAGACAAGGCAGCCAGGCTCCACGCCGAGGGCATACGTTGTGGCGGAGTTCCACTCGTCGTTGTTTGGACACAGGGCCGTATTGCCCGTGGCGGTGGGTGATGGGACGAGACTCGGGCAGTGGGAGAATGGTCCCCTCCCGCCCAGACACACCTTTACCCTATGGTATCAGGCAGCGCAGGCCAGTGAGGATGCTGATAAATACTCCCAGGTGAGGAATTTGTGCATGCAACAGCATTGCGAGCCTTGTTTTGTTAGAAAGCGATTCTGGACGGAAAACTTTGGACTCACATTTCGTCATACTGTACAAAGCTCAGTATACAATAAACAAGTTCACGGAAAAGAAACCCGGATTATAATATTATTTTGGGCCCTTAATAGAAAATGTATTCCATCTTTTTAATTGAAGGATGGCGATAAACTTGTGTCGCCTCGCCGCCTGTTCAAAAATTTATTTATTCGATTTTTATGTGTGCAGATAAGAGTAGTGGCGACATCACCATACCTACCTATTCAAGAAACGACAGGTATATGTTTGCAGTGTGTGCTAGAGTGTGTGTGTTACAATGTGTGTTACAATGTGTGTTACAATGTGTGGTACAATGTGTGGTACAATGTGTGTGACAAAGTGTGTTACTATGATTGTGTTGCAGCACACTGTGTACCTGTCTGACCACCACCACCCAGTATGTTGACATACAGTCTGGTTACAAATCACCATGACAACCATCAGTGGCTGTTACAACCTGTAAGAACCCATTCTACTATACAGAAGTAATGATCCAAAAGTTACAAACCCAGAAGTAAAGTAGAGATAGCCGGATTCGCGGCCGCATCACCCCATGTGTTCAGGAACACATCGAGTAAAGACGTTCACATTGGCGGGCCATCACTTCGCCCATTATATCCCAGTGTCGAATGCAGACCTCACAAGAGAAGGATCCAAAACAACAAGAATCACAATCATTTTCTGTAAAAGCCGGTACTTGCCACCAGCTTTGGACACTTCGCTATGCTGGTTCATCATCATGATCATCTTGCTGAGCCCCGCTGACGTCATCAGTCACATGATCATCTTGCTGAGCCCTGCTGATGTCATCATTCACGTGATCAGTCATGACTCATACGTGACAAGAAACAGTCGGTCACGCAATGATCGGCCACACACACCACGTGCGCGCATACACGCAGTCACATGCACACACAGATAGGCTTTCCCCAAATAGGCCGGCCGAAAATTTCGCCAAAAATGAGACTTTTCGAAAAATTGCTAAGCCTTTCGCCGATTTTAGAGGGTTCCTTTGAGAATTGCCGGAAATCTACCAAATTTAATGTTGTTGCAAAGTGCGCTTACGATCAGTATGAACGAATGATGTTGCTGCAAGCATGACAGGTCGAGCTATCTACTTCACTACTAATCTTGTACTGTTAGGATTTTGAGTTCGTGTGATTCGTGTCATTTGACCTCCTCTCAAACAAACATTAGCCATTAGGAAGACCGTCACTAGTAAAATCCCCAAATCGGGGCACGAAAAAGTCGCCGAAAACGAGACTTAACGAAAAAACGCTAAGCTTTTCGCCCATTTTGGAGGGTTTCTTTGAGAATGGCCAAAACTCTACCAAATCTTCCAATATCTCACCAATCTCGAATCCGATGGGCCAACAATTCTATTAGCCCATTTCCCAATATATTCCGATTTTGCAGAACAGGCGAAAAACGGGCCGATTTGGGGAAAGCCTACACACACACACGCATACACACACAGACATACACATACAAACAACACGTACATGCACAAAAGATCCGAAATTAAAGCGCTGTGGACCGTGGCTAGAACCAGACACCACTATTCGTTCCATATTCTGCGTAGCTTCGGTAATGATAATATTTTTTACCCGGCATGTATCACCTCTGTCCAGGTGCTGGTAATGGGCATACAGCAGTGTCTGTCACTCTAATAGCTGCAGCGGCTGGAGGACTGGCTTTCGTAATGTTCCTATCCCTCTGCATTGTGGTTCTGATACGGAGACAACGGCGCCTGGCTGGCAAAGGAAAAATGCGCCAGCCTTCCAGGAACAAGATGCTTGGCTCAAGTGCCTCTGAAGACATTAAGATACGAGACACGTCAATTTGAATCCCATATTTTGGTGTTCTTGTTTTCTATCGTTCATACAAATGATGCTTGATTTTCTGTCCCTGGTCTATAGTATAATGGAAGGCATATTGAGCACATGCACAGGGCATACCCATGCAGTGTGGTGTGAACATTATTGTACTAAACTATCTGATTACATGTATTGGCAACTTGCATCTTTCCATCTCAATAGCTCATCCCAAATGCAAGATAATCCCAGCAAATTGGAAGACCTGGCAGGTATGACATCATCATAACTATTACCCTGGTCACCAAGAGCATGTTCTTATTTACACACAGACACTAGCTGTACGCTGCTCAGTTTACGCGCTACACCTTCATGACCCCTACGCGTAACCTTGAGCAATTATTACACAATCATGGTTTGCCTTACTAACACACAGGTCAGTTCAGAGTCACCGGCTATCAGCTAAACCAAACTCCTAGCGTAGTTATTGTCTTTCTGATCGCATAGTCCTCTTCCTTGCACGACTGATGCACTCGGCATGTTCTACGTGTACCAGAATTGCAAATATGGACAATTGCGAATTGCAAAATTAGCGAGGTTTTGCATTCCGAAATTCGGCAAAAAGATTCGGCACGCGGGAACGAGGTCGAAAATGCACGCGAAGATTCGGCATGTTTGTTCGGAAAAAGCTCACTTTGCCGAAAATATTTTTCGGATGAATTTTCTGTAGAAGAGCGCCAGCGCGTGATTTATTCAAAGAGATTTCTTATCTCGGCATCGCTTCCCAGGCGTCTTTGGCGACATCAGCGTCGTCAGCTACCTCTGATTGCTCCTCCACTGCTTGTCTACTCTCTTTCGCCTGGAGTGTCCTCACCGTCATCTGTGTGGCTGAAAAGACTATGGCGATACTCATAAAATTTGACTTGGCCATGGAGTTGGTTTTTCTGAGGCGACTGAGGAGACAGGTCTGGCCCTCGGCTCTTAGGGCGATCAAAGTTCGTTGGAATCAGCAAGAATAGGAGCACGGGACAGGACGTTGCTGATGCTAGGGCTCACGAAATGAAAACACATCATTTTCGACTTGCAAAACAAACGTTGGTGCGAAAATTCGACATTTTGATGTTCGACAAATGACCGAAGAGCGCCGAACCGAAATTCGGAATGCAAAACCTCACTATTAATAATAATTATTCGTGCCTCGTTCCATCACATCATCAGCTATGTCATAACACTGACAGCCGGTAATTCATGTACCACTTACTTTTCAACCATGTGCCCACTTTGAGCAGCTCGTGAGCAACTCGTGCCAAACAATAAAGTGGTACCAGTGTACACGTAGTTCTAGTTTTTGAGCATGCACTGATTATGCTCACACTAAGTCAGACCAGTAAAATGTACTGTTGCTTGGTTGGGTCGAATAAAATCCAGTTCCATGACTAAAATTTAATTAGAGACTGACTTCACTGCACAGTCCTCTGTTCATAGTCACTTTTGGGCAGTCCCTGGACTATAAAATTCTCACAGCTGGATTTTACTTGCCACCACTGACAGTCTGTGCATTGCAACAAGAATAATAATTATTGACACCGCGCAGTGGTTCCATTGCATGCAATTAATGTCATATAAGATATTATGTTCATCCCACACACACACAACACGCGAATAAATGTCACGGAGTCGAGCGATTTGCCACTCAGACAGAGTTCTCCGCATCCGTGGGAATGCCACCACCTCAAGGATCAAGGCGCAGATGCAGGTCTCCTTAATCAGTGGAAGGTGAGTAGATCCACACATGCTACATAATAATTATAACTAAAATACGGTGTAAAGTGAAGCCGAAGTAACTCATGCAAACAGTTGCGGAATGTTAACAGAAATACATTTCATTGTTCAAGAAAGGGCTTATCAAGAAGTGGAAATCAAGGAGCAAGAGAAAGGGCGGATGTGCTCTCCAAAGTGTAAGCGAATAATCAATGCTTGATCTGACTAGGTGCACACCTTAGACAACTGATGAGCCGTAGTAGCCTGTTGTGATACAACTATACGACTGTGATCTATGTTTTACCTTGGTCTCCAGTACCAATTTAATATCACACTACACGACACTGTTTGGTAATGTGCAGGCATTGAATACAAACAGATCACTCGCAATCAGACTCAAAGAAATACGAAAGAGAGACAGCCAAGATGCGTTGATACTTAAATTTCGTCAAACTTCTTTTCCAGAATTGAATTATCATGATCTCAATAAATAACTTTCAAGAATTGGACACCATTCGCAGCAAATACGGAATTGAGATAACATTTTCCGTTCCCAACATGAAACATGGATCCACAACAACAAACAGGGAGATTGACCTGTAAAGATGTGTTGCTGGTGATGGTGCTGATGCTGATAACTGTGGCTAGGTTTTCTGAATACTAGCATTGCGCATGGTGCGGTAGATGTCCATGGCTGCCAGGCCACAGCACAGGATGATAGGGCCAGTGACTGCGCCTTCCAGTCCAAATATGTACATGCCGCCGGCCACAGCCAAGCCGGTCAGGTATGGATGTCCACCACTGCACATATACACAGACACAACACAGACACACACAACACAAACACACACACACACACACACACACACACATACACACACACAATACAAGACAACACACAACACGGTGAGAGCCAATCATTGAACTATACGTAGTAGTTAAAACGACAGCAGGATGCAAGCAGAGTCAACCTAGTCGTGCTTGCACCCGGCAAGCTAGCTGTCCTAGCCAAGTAGAAGACGCTCAGGTTCTTCGGCCCTAGACCCCGTTCGGTTAGAGCAGCTTGTTTGCCATACACACGCATAACCATTGTTTGCTTGGTCTGCATACTTACTCCAGATACTGCATGTAGGCGCACGAACGTTAGCCATTTCTTGAAAACAAGGGGTGGGGAATGCTCATAATTATACTCTCACCCATGTGTACCCAACTCACACTGAAGAACAGCATGCATTGATAATGGGTGAGAGTAAGACCTCTGCCATTCTGAAAGAGGTGTTTGACTTTACAGCCCTGTAAACCATATTATGGTATACTACAGTATGGTATACTACAGTATGGTATACTATAGTACACCATACTGCAGTATGGTGTACTGTAGTATGGTGTACTGTAGTATGGTATACTGTAGTATGGTGTACTGTAGTATGGTGTACTGTAGTATGGTGTACTGTAGTATGGTGTACTGTAGTATGGTGTACTATAGTATGGTGTACTGTAGTATGGTGTACTGTAGTATGGTATACTGTAGTATGGTGTACTGTAGTATGGTGTACTGTAGTATGGTGTACTGTAGTATGGTGTACTGTAGTATGGTATACTGTAGTATGGTGTACTGTAGTATGGTGTACTGTAGTATGGTATACTGTAGTATGGTGTACTGTAGTATGGTGTACTGTAGTATGGTGTACTGTAGTATGGTATACTATAGTATGGTGTACTGTAGTATGGTGTACTGTAGTATGGTGTACTGTAGTATGGTGTACTGTAGTATGGTGTACTGTAGTATGGTGTACTGTAGTATGGTGTACTGTAGTATGGTGTACTGTAGTATGGTGTACTATAGTATGGTGTACTTTAGTATGGTGTACTGTAGTATGGTGTACTGTAGTATGGTGTACTGTAGTATGGTATACTGTAGTATGGTGTACTGTAGTATGGTGTACTGTAGTATGGTGTACTGTAGTATGGTATACTATAGTATGGTGTACTGTAGTATGGTGTACTGTAGTATGGTGTACTGTAGTATGGTGTACTGTAGTATGGTGTACTGTAGTATGGTATACTATAGTATGGTGTACTGTAGTATGGTGTACTGTAGTATGGTGTACTGTAGTATGGTGTACTGTAGTATGGTGTACTGTAGTATGGTGTACTGTAGTATGGTGTACTGTAGTATGGTGTACTGTAGTATGGTGTACTGTAGTATGGTGTACTGTAGTATGGTGTACTGTAGTATGGTATACTGTAGTATGGTGTACTGTAGTATGGTATACTGTAGTATGGTGTACTGTAGTATGGTATACTGTAGTATGGTATACTGTAGTATGGTATACTGTAGTATGGTGTACTGTAGTATGGTGTACTGTAGTATGGTATACTATAGTATTTTTTTTTTTTTTTTTTTTTTTTTTTTTTTTTTTTGTAGTAAAAGCCTCTTTTACGGGCGAACAAAACACAATTTGCCATGGCGGAGGATTGAAAACAAATCACAATCATAATGATGACGTCGCATGTGATCAGACAGCAAGAGAAGCATAGCATAGTTCGCACAATCACGGGGCAAGGCTCAACGGGACACCCTAGCCTCCACGACAGCCAGGGAGGCACAGCCATCCATTGGAGGCTGCCAAACTCGGCGAGCCCCACGCAGACACATGACACTCGAACGCAGCAGGGCGAAAAGACAGCCTGCAGCGGAGGTGGGCAATTAGCACAGAATACGCCTCCCTCCCACGTAGCGACTGGAGATGTGCAATCCGGCTCACCAGTGCAGCGGCACCCTTGCCGCATCCTCCGGTGGAAGAGAGCACAAAGGGGAGAAAAGTGGATCGCTCCACTTCTCGGACTCTCCGATCATATCGACGCCGTTTCTCTTGCTCATGGTGCCGGTAGCAGCCAGAGAGAGAGGAGGTGCGGTTCGAGGAGGTGCGGTTCGAAGACGCATAAGGGTTGAACACCCGTACATCAATAAAAGTGCGTTCGAACCGACCCCCCCAAACTCCACTGGCCACCACATCCAAACGAGCTTGATCCTCGGTTGATGCTGACCGGAGCTGAAACTGCTCCCCAGTCAGGGGTTGGAGATGTGGCTCCACTGCGACGTTGTGGGCGACACCCTTCAATGAGCTTGCCAGTATGTCGCGCACCTCGTTGTGGCGGATCGAGGGGAACCCACCGAAAGGACAGGACAAGGCGTGAGCAGTGGTGAATGCCTTCTCGCAAACACAGGTGGTGGGCAGGCGAGAAGGCGTCCAACCGTAACGGAGGCAGAGGCCATCCCGGAATTCCCCCTTCGACAAAGCGAAGCCATGGCGAGCGATGGGTCGGCAGGTAAGCCAGCTTGATGCTCCCTTCTCCTCTGCCAGACTGATAGCGAGATCGAGTTCGCTGTGTTCGGTGCGGAACGTATCGGCAGCTATCTTCATTGCCTTTCTGGCCTCAGAGCGAGCCTGACTCTTGGCCATGCGGACACAGGCAAGAGCATCATCGAGGTGCTCTTCTTGCGCCATGATCTTGTCGTACAGCGCAGTGGTGATTAGCCTGGAGGTGCCGTACTGTGAGCCAAAAGTGGCAGGGTTGGCCACGCCGAGGCCTCCATGCCGGCAGGGGAAAGTGAGCAAAATGCGTTCAGCTTCACTGGGCGCCGTCCGTCCACTAATGGCAGGGATTAGGCGGCGGTGGATGATGTCCTCCAGGGGTGCCAGCTGTTCTGCAGCACCATCGAGAACCCGACACAGGAAGGACCACCGGTGTTGGAGGCTGTTCACCAGTGCAGAGTAAGCTGCTTGAGGCTGTGACCGGGCGAAATCTGTCAGCTTGCACAGCTCCTGCGACCAGGTGGCCACCTTGGAAGCCACAAACTCCTGCACAAACTGATCAGTTCCGATGGCTGATCCAAGGTGACGGCACCCGTCAGTGGTGATAGACACACCCGTGCCGGCGAAGATGGTCTCGGCTGCCTCTAGCTTGTCCCGCTTGACGACGAGGACGGACTTGCTGGGGTTAATGAAATACCCGAACGCCGGCCCATCCCCGACGAGTCGGTCCCACCACTGGCGGAGAGGGTTGAGCCCGCCACCCGCGGACGAGTCATCCGCATACCAGCTCTGGCGTGTTCCTGGGGTTGCCACTCTGCGCACCAGGGGGAGTACCCCCAAAGCGTACATCGGCATAGCAAGAGGATCTCCCTGCGTTGTGCCTTCTCGCGATAGGAGGCACTCCCCGTCCACGAATAGGCGGGCCGGCTGACGGTAGCAGTTTACGATAGCGGGTGTGATGGCTGGACAGAGGTGCGCTACGTTGCGCATACATGCTTCTCTGTTAAGGCGATTGAACGCATTGGATGCATCCGCCATAAGCACAGCGTCAACGTCTTCTTCATGGAACGTGTCGTGCATGGCGTGAATGGCCGCCTCAATGCCACATTCCTGGCCTCCGCACATCTGCAGTGACCCTGTCGCCTCACGAACAGAGTCCCCCGCCACGCTCAGAATAGCCTTGCCGATGATACGACGGACGGTTTCGCCGATGCCTATTGGGCGCACACCCGGTTTCTTATCTAGAGGGATAAGCCGGCATGCCGTGTAGGCTTCCATCGATGCTGGGTTGACGTACTGAGTGGCGATTCGCTGGGCACAGCTGGCGAGAGCATCACATAGGTCGTCTGAAATGTCCCCAAACGCTGTGCACATACGCCTCCAGCCATCTGCGTCCATCCCAGACGGCCCTGCAGAACCGGTGGTATGCAGTGCAGCTTGGCGCACAGCGGTCCTGTCCAGCTTGGTGAAGAGCACTGGGTGGGGCTGTGCTGGGGGTTGCCCTGGGAGGAGAGCCGCTGCTGTGACTGCCTCGCCCTGTGGGTGCTTACTGCGCAGCACATCAAGCACGGTCGTTTCTCCAATGGTGTCGTCAAGATCAAGAACTCCACCACCCATGTCGGGGGAGAGTTGACGAGTGGCTGCCGAGAGCCTGCCACGCTCAATGTCAGACGCAAATCTGCGTGCCGGGTCGACCGTGTGTCCCTCGTGCCGTGCGTTTCGCCTGCGGGCCTTGACGATCTGGTCTTGAATAGTCACGGATTCTTGGAGTAGCACCTGTACGTCTCCGGAATCCCACGAGGCAATGCGGCGCTCGATGTAAACCTTGTGAGCTGCTGCCGCTCCGGTCCCGCCAGGTTTCTGAAGGAGCAACTGCTGCATTACCATCGCCGTTTTCAGGGCGTAGTCAGCTGCACCTGAGGAGTTGTTACCAAAGGCGTGGAAGTGTGAACTCAGCATACGGATAAAGGTTCGGCCCGTGCTGCCCATTGGTACGTCCAACAGGTTTGGGGCAAAATGAACTACCTTCTCGTACGCCTCGGATATCCGGTTGGAAAACGTGGGACCGTCCAGATCTCCCATTCCGAGTGTGGGGTCCCGCAGGGGAGGATGGGGTGGCAGGTCCGGGATAACAGGATCAGCGACGTCCATTGTTGCTTGGGACATGTTGAGTGTGGCTAGCAGTCGGACATCGTGTGGATCTACGTCCCCACTCGCTGGTAGGTCAACTAGGTCCACTACGGTCACGGTGGCACGCTCCGCGTCCGCTGGCTCAGGCGCTTGGCTGGCAGGTTCGACATCAGCACTGCCATTGGTGTCAGGCGAGTTCGGCACCTGTACGGGTACTACAGTGCTACTGCTAGTACTGGCACCGGGAGGCGAGCTCGACCGGGCTGTGCGAGGTGGTCCGTGACGACCGTCTCTGCACTCTGCAAGTAGGGTGGTGGTGAGTACTGCGGCTGCACTCTCGGTGACTACTGGCTTGTGCACATTCGAAACATTTGGTACTGGTACGGAGTCTAGTGTCGTATCGGAAACTGCGGTTGCTCTGTTGTCGGAGCTTGTCGACGTCCTGCTGACAGTGTGGTCCGTTACCGTATCACGAACAGAGTTTCGTGCAGTTCCTACGGGTACGGTAGCTGTAGTCGTCGACGACGGTTGAGAAGACGGTTGGGATGTCGGGGAGCCGTTCCGGCATTTGTTCTTCTTCGAGGGGATACAATTCCGACACTTCCGACCCTCCTTCTTGCAATCGCACCGAACACAGGTGCCGTTGCCGTTGCACCGGCAACAAGTGGCACTCTGCATCGGCTGGTTTGCAGGAGAGGCACGTTGGAGTTGGAAAATCCACTGAAGACTACAGAGCTCGAGACACATATATACTATAGTATGGTGTACTGTAGTATGGTGTACTGTAGTATGGTGTACTGTAGTATGGTATACTGTAGTATGGTGTACTGTAGTATGGTGTACTGTAGTATGGTGTACTGTAGTATGGTATACTATAGTATGGTGTACTGTAGTATGGTGTACTATAGTACACCATACTATAGTATACCATACTATAGTATGGTGTACTAGTAGTCAGCCTCTTTTACGGGCAAAATAAACACAATGAATATTTTTTCCCAAGTGTTCCAAAAACTTCAACTCAAAGTTCTAGAAAGAAAAAACACGCAAAAAAACAAAACAGCATAATAATGTATATACCTACTTAGGTAAACAGCAGCAAGTTCAACTTCAAGTCAATATTCCAGTCACTGTTACCGCTCGTGCACGCTAAGCCGATACCCGGGCCTCTACCACTGCCAGCGCAGCAGAGGTATCACCCACAGCCAAGGCAGACTGGCTAGAGAGCCTTCTGCACCCTCGGAGGCACATGATGCAGGACCGCAAGAGGGAAAAAGCGATCCTGCACCTGATGAAAGCCATCACATGAGAGTACTGCTCCCCCCTTTTCGCCGCCAACAGAGAGGCCACTCGTTTGTAGAGGGCCGTTGCTGCCTTGCCCATGCCTCCACTCGCAGACATCACAGCCGGAACAAAAGTGGCATGCTCCACTTGTCTCACTCTCTCTTCGTAGTGCCTTCGTTTCTCTCTTTCATGTCGATGATACACAGTGGTACGTGGTGCAGACTGATTTGAGCGAGCATAAGGATTAAAAACCCGGACATCAATAAGGGTTCGCTCAAATCGACTGCCCCACAAACCACTGGCAGCGACATCAAGGTGTGCATGATCCTCAACGTTGGCCGTTCGGTATTGCAATCGCTCACCGGCCAGTGGCTGCAGGGTAGGCTCCGTGGACACATTGCTACAGACTTGGTGTACGAGCTGTGCGGTAGTGTCACGAATGGCATTGTGTCGTATGGTGGGAAATCCTCCATGAGGACAGGATAGTGAGTGAGAAACGCTCACCTCTTGGCCACATGAACAATGAGTCGGTATTCTCGCCGGCGTCCATCTATAGCGGGGGGGGGGGAGTATGGTATACTATAGTACGGTATACTATAGTATACCATACTATAGTATGGTATACTATAGTATACCATACTATGGCCACATTGTTTACTCATATCACACATACAGTGACCGTGGATGGTAGCAGTACGACTATGGATGGTAGCAGTACGACTATGGATGGTAGCAGTACGACTATGGATGGTAGCAGTACGACTATGGATGGTAGCAGTACGACTATGGATGGTAGCAGTACGACTATGGATGGTAGCAGTACGACTATGGATGGTAGCAGTACGACCGTGGATGGTAGCAGTACGACTATGGATGGTAGCAGTACGACTATGGATGGTAGCAGTACGACCGTGGATGGCAGCAGTACGACTATGGATGGTAGCAGTACGACCGTGGATGGTAGCAGTACGACTATGGGTGGTCGGCCCAAAGGGGATACGGGACGTCCGCGGTAAGTGTTATGAAACATAGGCCTGCAAATGCTCAAATTTGAGCTCCTTTCAAAGCCAACATTGAGACCAAAACCGGACTGGCAGGACAGCAATCCACAGATCATACAGTACATGTGACATGTCTGCCAGTAGACACACGCTCCCAAAACAGTAGAAATCTATTATAAATCCAGTGCATATTGTAAAAGGCCCATACAGCACGTACCCTTTGATCTCAGAGTATATGGCCACGTCGACAACATTGTAGCAGAGAAAGTGCAGGCCGAACAGCAGTGATGCTTTGATCCAGGACTGTTGCGCTACAGCCAGGTAGAGTGATGCGGGCAGTGCTACCCAGTAGCTGCCTAGTAGAGGTATGGCGGCAAACAAAGCTGATATTACTGCAAGTGTAAGTAAAACAACATGAACAGCACAGAACACAGGACAGTTGCATTTTGATGCTTCAGTCAAGCTGGAGGAAATGCCTGAGAGTGGATCCCGTCGTGTCACCTCAGCCTCCAATACACATGTGTGTGTACATGTAGTGCAGAACAATATTGCATGATATCTACATATACCTGCACCTTAACACTTCAGAGACCATGATTATTTCAATGAATGCACTGCATACGTGTACCCATGTATTTACTGCAGGAATGGACGTAGGGAAGGGGGAAGGGGAAGGGGAGGGGGAAGGGGAAAGGGAAGGGGAGGGGGAAGGGGGGGGGTGTGTGCTGATTCAATACACCTGTAGTGGGTCTGTACTACAGTCTGAACAAGGTAATATCTAACAATTGGGCCACCGTGTTTCACATGTACGTACATGTAGGTAGGACACAAACAACTTACCAGCTCTATCCCCTACTCAAACTCACCTCCATGCAATCCCCCTAGACACAAACAACTTCCCAGCTCTATCCCCTACTCAAACTCACCTCCATGCAATCCCCCTAGACACAAACAACTTCCCAGCTCTATCCCCTACTCAAACTCACCTCCATGCAATCCCCCTAGGCACAAACAACTTCCCAGCTCTATCCCCTACTCAAACTCACCTCTATCCAATCCCACTAGACACAAACAACTTCCCAGCTCTATCCCCTACTCAAACTCACCTCCATGCAATCCCCTAGACACAAACAGATATAGTTATAGTGCAGAAATCACCCCTTCCCTTCCCTTCCCTTCCCTTCCCCACCACACACACACACACAGATGCGAAAGATGTGTGATCTGCAACACACGCACGTCTCCCTCCTCCCCGCCCCCTCCCACTCCTACACTTCCACAAGCATCCACCACACACAAGCATGCACGCAGACACCCATGCCTGCCCCCCGCCCTCTCCCAAACAGAATCTCCCCCCCCCCCCCATACACCCACCCACATTGAGATTGGTATTGATCTACAACACATGGGGGAAATGAGTGGCTTACCTGCCGGCGTAAAGACCACTTGAAATCCAAACAGAGTATGTGTGAAGAATGTAAACAGTCTGTAGAATGTTATCATCTTTAGAGATGCACCAAATACTCCCCTAAACAAACACAGGACCCAAGCGTTCACATACACACACGCGCGAATAGAAGACTCACACACACACGCACACACATGCACACACACACATGCACACACACACACATGCACGCACACACACACACACACACACACACACACACACACACACACACACACACACACAGCAAAACTGTATTCAGCACATATCCCTATTGTAAGACGGACAGTAACACTACATACCTCCAAAGATTGTGCATTTCTATCTAGTGCTGGGGAAGCAGAGTTTCACATCAAATGAAACTAGGGTATGAGCTTGTACACTGGCAAGCAGTGCAAATTGATCACCAAAGAGTCATACGCAAAGCAGGCCTGCATAAAAAATACTTGTAGGTACATGATCATGATTGTGTATGTTGCAAGCAGCGTGTATGTGTTGTCAGGTGATGTGAAGCTCTTCTATTGCTGACCCCATAGACTGGAGTAGCGCACACTCTAGAGGGGGTAATGTAATCTTGATGACAGTCAGGGTACGTGGTGTTACTAGAATGTCCGTACTAGAGAGAGAGAGAGACAGAGAGAGAGAGAGAGAGAGAGAGAGAGAGAGAGAGAGAGAGAGAGAGAGAGAGAGAGAGAGAGAGAGAGAGAGAGAGAGAGAGAGAGAGAGAGAGAGAGAGAGAGAGAGAGAGAGAGAGAGAGAGAGAGAGAGAGAGAGAGAAGAGAGAGAGAGAGAGAGAGAGAGAGAGAGAGAGAGAGAGAGAGAGAGAGAGAGAGAGAGAGAGAGAGAGAGAGAGAGAGAGAGAGAGAGAGATAGGTTCCACCGGGACTACTACATGTATAACAAATTAGCAGAAGTGAACGGTGACTTCGTGCAACCGACAGTGGCAAGGCGTACATGCTGTCACAAGCGGAAAGCCATTGTATAGCAACACTCGTTCTCACGCAGACAATCCCAGAGGCTATTAGACTGAGCATGAAAATGGGTCCTCTATGTCAAACCACTACTTGCGCTGCCAATCAATCAAAAAGGTATTTTCCTATGCAATGTATGGGTCGTAAGCGTGAGTCGCAATTGCTCAGCCACAAGCATGTCCCACAGCAATGCAGGCAGCTGGCACATACCAAGGCTAAGTTCACATTGCAAAAGAGTCTATGCTACTATCGTGTATGGACTGAGCAGTTAGTTTATCAGCACATGTACACATGACATAGTGTATACAATGTGTGGAGAATGTTTTCCTGCACTACTACTACTACGCTACAACACATAGATTACTTACTGAACTGCATTGGATACTGAGGTAACAGCTTGTGACTTTGCACCAGCCTCCGAAGGCATTAGACTAGTCAGCCATGTCAGTGGTATGTACTGACGGTCAGATGCAGCCAGCAAATACATCAGTGAAGTCAGGATTATCACCTGCAATAGTGCACAGTACACACACACACACACACACACACACACACACACACACACACACACACACACACACACACACACACACACACACACACACAACAACAACAACAACAACAACAACAACAACAACAACAACAACAACAACAACAACAACAGCAGCAGCAGCAGCAGCAGCAGCAGCAGCAGCAGAAGCAGCAGCAGCAGCAACAACAACATGCGCATGTATATGAGCATATACAGAGACAGACAGACAGACAGACAGACAGACAGACAGAGCAACACACAAAGGCGCAGACACACGCACTTGCACTCGTACTTGCTCACTAACAGAAACTGGTCATGAGGGTATTGTCGAGCAACATGAATCTGGTCATGTGACCTATGTGTGTGTGTGTGTGTGTGTGTGTGTGTGTGTGTGTGTGTGTTTGTGTGTGTTTGTGTGTGTGCGTGTGTGTGTGTGTGTATGTACTGTACTGTATGGTTCTGAGGCATGGATGCTGAAGGCACCCCTCCTGCGCAGGTTGGACACATTCCATCGACAGTGTGTTCGCACGATCCTGAGTGTTACCCGAGACCAGCAGTGGCAGGAACACCTGTCAAGTGAAGACCTGGCGAAGCGCAGCGGCATGCCAGCCTCGCTGGAGGAGACCATTTGTGCGAATCGCCTTCGATGGCTTGGTCACCTCACAAGGATGGACGACACAAGGTTGCCAAAGCAGATCCTGTTTGCGGAGGGCACTAACAAGCGGCCCCACCATGGACCCAAGCGTCGTTGGAGAGATGTGGCAGCTTCAGACCTGAGTGCGACCGGTATCCCGGAGGCGCAATGGTACCACCTTGCTCAGGACCGGAGGGATTGGCGCGAGCGTAGCCGTCGGAAGCCACCAAGCCAGCCCCAACCAAGAGTGTTCGTCTGTGTCTGCGGCCGTGACTTTCGCCGTCCGAATAATTTATCCCGACACAAGAACTACTGCCTCGCCTAATAGCTATCATCGCCTTCGGCGATGGGCTTTCCAAAGGTCCTAAGGTGTGTGTGTGTGTGTGTGTCCCCTACGAAGCATGCACTATTTGCTTAGAAGACTTCTTCGCTAGAATGCCCATTCGGCAAATGAAGGTGGAATGTGTAATACTGATTCTCACAAAGATGTATACACGTGATCTCTTTCCAAGAATTCCTGAAGGTGATTGAGAGTGTTTCAAATTACAGCCATGTAAATGAGGAATTGAAGATAGTTTTTACAAAAAAAAGACAATCTTTAATTGCTCATTTACATGGCTGTGATTGGCTCTTGGGCAGTCGAGATCAAAACCAGGTTCCAGAACGTGTAATCGAGCACAGCTGCACTCACAACATTCACAGCAAGGTTTAACACAGCTGTGCTGCTGTCCAGCAAGATGGAGAGTATCGCCGTCACCACGCCCATCAGTAGTTTAGCGTTGCCCTTGACAACCACCCACGCCGAGTCAAGCAGCTGCATATAAGTATAACCAACAGAAAGAGCAGAGACGTGACAACGAAGAAATTCCTATTGCTTTTCATAGTCTACCGTGATGTCGTGTATAAAAGCCGAGCGTATCCCTGCAGAAGCCAATGTCAGTGTTAGGCTTCTATTCAAAACAGGTATTTCTATTCAAATCAGGTATTTCTATTCAAATCAGGTATTTCTATTCAAATCAGGTATTTCTATTCAAATCAGGTATTTCTATTCAAACCAGGTATTTCTATTCAAATCAGGTATTTCTATTCAAATCAGGTATTTCTATTCAAATCAGGTATTTCTATTCAAACCAGGTATTTCTATTCAAATCAGGTATTTCTATTCAAATCAGGTATTTCTATTCAAATCAGGTATTTCTATTCAAATCAGGTATTTCTATTGAAATCAGGTATTTCTATTCAAATCAGGTATTTCTATTGAAATCAGGTATTTCTATTCTAATCAGGTATTTCTATTCTAATCAGGTATTTCTATTTAAATCAGGTATTTCTATTCAAATCAGGTATTTCTATTCAAATCAGGTATTTCTATTCAAATCAGGTATTTCTATTCAAATCAGGTATTTCTATTCAAATCAGGTATTTCTATTCAAACCAGGTATTTCTATTCAAATCAGGTATTTCTATTCAAACCAGGTATTTCTATTCAAACCAGGTATTTCTATTCAAACCAGGTATTTCTATTCAAATCAGGTATTTCTATTCAAATCAGGTATTTCTATTCAAATCAGGTATTTCTATTGAAATCAGGTATTTCTATTGAAATCAGGTATTTCTATTCAAATCAGGTATTTCTATTGAAATCAGGTATTTCTATTCTAATCAGGTATTTCTATTTAAATCAGGTATTTCTATTTAAATCAGGTATTTCTATTCAAATCAGGTATTTCTATTCAAATCAGGTATTTCTATTCAAATCAGGTATTTCTATTCAAATCAGGTATTTCTATTCAAATCAGGTATTTCTATTCAAATCAGGTATTTCTATTCAAATCAGGTATTTCTATTGAAATCAGGTATTTCTATTCTAATCAGGTATTTCTATTCTAATCAGGTATTTCTATTCAAATCAGGTATTTCTATTCAAATCAGGTATTTCTATTCAAATCAGGTATTTCTATTCAAATCAGGTATTTCTATTCAAATCAGGTATTTCTATTCAAATCAGGTATTTCTATTCAAATCAGGTATTTCTATTCAAATCAGGTATTTCTATTCAAATCAGGTATTTCTATTCAAATCAGGTATTTCTATTCAAATCAGGTATTTCTATTCAAATCAGGTATTTCTATTCAAATCAGGTATTTCTATTCAAATCAGGTATTTCTATTCAAATCAGGTATTTCTATTCAAATCAGGTATTTTTATTCAAATCAGGTATTTCTATTCAAATCAGGTATTTTTATTCAAATCAGGTATTTCTATTCAAATCAGGTATTTCTATTCAAATCAGGTATTTCTATTCAAATCAGGTATTTCTATTCAAATCAGGTATTTCTATTCAAATCAGGTATTTCTATTCAAATCAGGTATTTCTATTCAAATCAGGTATTTCTATTCAAATCAGGTATTTCTATTCAAATCAGGTATTTCTATTCAAATCAGGTATTTCTATTCAAATCAGGTATTTCTATTCAAATCAGGTATTTCTATTCAAATCAGGTATTTCTATTCAAATCAGGTATTTCTATTCAAATCAGGTATTTCTATTCAAATCAGGTATTTCTATTCAAATCAGGTATTTCTATTCAAATCAGGTATTTCTATGTATGTGAACACTACTCTGAGTTTCAACCATCAGTATAACCTTTGTGTCCACTGCTTACAGGTATGACAACACTAAAGCTAACTGGTAGGCTTATAGGCCGACGGCGCATCTTGAAAACTATACTCTTGCTGTTGTTGTATTTCGAGTCGGAGAACAAAAGCTGAATACAGGCTTCTATCCTTCCAGGCCCGGAGCCAGCTCCTGAGGGGTGCTACGGGCCCAGGCCGACTGCAGGGCCGATCATTTACCCAGGCCCGGCTTTGATTCACGGGAGGATGAATCTCTAGCACTATGCTGCATTGCACCTGGCTGTTCCAGTTACACTAGGACATGCTGATATTGAGAGATACATGTCCATTGCATGTAGTTAGCAGAGTAGTTCTTACTTCACATAGAGAACAGTTTAGGAGAGAAAGAGAGAGAGAGAGAGAGAGAGAGAGAGAGAGAGAGAGAGAGAGAGAGAGAGAGAGAGAGAGAGAGAGAGAGACTCCGCAACGAGCAGGCGTGTAGCCGCAATGGGTCAGGGGGCACGTCGCCCCCCCCCCCCCCACTAAAAATGTTGGACCTAGGTTCAGCAAGCACATAATTACCATGAATAACATGTACCAACCATCCTACACATATGCAGTCGTGCAACCCACCAACCCCACCCCTAGAAGGGAGACCAGCCCCTGACGAGGATAGAGGTTCAGTGCTTTCCACATAATTGATCATACACGGATAATCCATGAAGCTAGAATTGGCAAACACTGGTCCGGCCATGGTCGCACAAGCCATACCAGTGACACCAGCCATACCTTCCAAAACGAAAAAATAAAATAAAAATTGGTCACTTACCGTATGCAATGTTGCCACATTGCTACTGACGGTAGTAAATACTGATGTCATGTTGATCTGAGAAGACACTTCACTGGCACTCAGTCCACTCACATTGCTACACACAACCACACTCTACAACAATACAGCACATGCACACACACACACACACACACACACACACACACACACACACACACCCACCCACCCACCCACCCACCCACCCACCCACCCACCCACCCACCCACCCACCCACCCACCCACCCACCCACACCCACACACACACACACACACACACACACACACACACACACACACACACACACACACACACACACACACACACACACACACACACACCCAAACACAAACACAAACCAGGAGTTAAACAGATCCAGAAGTACCATTACACCCAATCCAATCTAAGACCAAGTTCGAGTAAGTCCTTTCCAGGCATTACGCCTAGGCCACGGTATTGGAGCCAGCTTGGCTTCCCTGGCTTTAGTAGCTGCATCTGTGCCTTGATCCACAGAGGGTGGTGGTGTTCCTACGGATGCGGATAACTTGTCCTCCAGCCTAGTCTCACATGAACAGTGTATTTATAGGATTACAACAACATGCACTGCAAGGAGAAACATCAACACTTTAAAACATGTTTTGAAAGCCTATGTTGATTTGTCAACAAACAACCTCTCAATTACTTGCTTCTCAATCAAATACTCAGTCAAAGAGCTGAGAACAAAATATCTACATCGATTAACAGATAAAACAATAAAATAAAAAAAATAAAAAATTCGACGTGGTCGCGTACCGGGCAGGTCAAGAACAAGGAGTCGTACAACTCCCTGGTCAAGAACCACCTTACCGCTTCCGATTGACAGATGCCATGACAAAAATAAGTTTAGTTCTGGTCAGAGAAATTAAACCTCATAGAATATAGTAGCGCCGCGTTCACGTGCACAGACGAGTGTGTGTGTGTGTGTATGTGTAGTTGTAGAGGTGTGTAGCGGCCGACACGGTTTTACTCCCGAGTTTGGATTAAACAGGCTCTGGCCAGTACTGTCCATATATATGTACAGTAATACACAACAGAACAACAAGGACAATCAAGGCTTGTTTGCTGCTACTTTAAGTTTCATGCTCACGCAATCATCAGGCAACATGAAGATCGGGTGCCGGCCATGCCGGTATATATGCCAGGAGAGGGTGGTATAAATAATATAATATATACCGGCATGGTCGGCACCCGATCTTCATGTTGCCTGATGATTGCGTAAGCATGAAACTTAAAGTAGCAGCAAACAAGCCTTGATTGTCCTTGTCGTTCTGTTGTGTACTACGCTCTGCCTTTGTGGTGTTGAGCACTGTCAGCACTCTGGGTACATCCTTCGGTGTACAGTCATGTAGATACCGCAACACACAGTAATGCATGGACCACAGTAATGCATGGCCCACAGTAATGCATGGCCCACAGTAATGCATGGACCACAGTAATGCATGGATCACAGTAATGCATGGACCACAGTAATGCATGGCCCACAGTAATGCATGGCCCACAGTAATGCATGGACCACAGTAATGCATGGACCACAGTAATGCATGGATCACAGTAATGCATGGACCACAGTAATGCATGGCCCACAGTAATGCATGGACCACAGTAATGCATGGACCACAGTAATGCATGGACCACAGTAATGCATGGACCACAGTAATGCATGGACCACAGTAATGCATGGATCACAGTAATGCATGGACCACAGTAATGCATGGACCACAGTAATGCATGGACCACAGTAATGCATGGACCACAGTAATGCATGGACCACAGTAATGCATGGATCACAGTAATGCATGGATCACAGTAATGCATGGACCACAGTAATGCATGGACCACAGTAATGCATGGACCACAGTAATGCATGGACCACAGTAATGCATGGCCCACAGTAATGCATGGCCCACAGTAATGCATGGATCACAGTAATGCATGGTTCACAGGAATGCATGGACCACAGTAATGCATGGACCACAGTAATGCATGGACCACAGTGGTGTGGCCAACTACAGTGCTGGTAACTGAAATCAGACCCCCTGAGCGGGTCTAGTAGTCTCTGTTTCGTAGCGTTGTCATCCCGTGTTGGGTCTTTGCGATGTGAGCGCACCGCTCAGGGGTCGGATTTCAGTTGCTAGCACTGTAGTTCATGACATAGGCAATAAATCAGGTAATTTGGTCAACACAATTCATCAACTGCATCATGCAGCTGTACATCCCCTGAGTCTTCCTCTAATAGAAATGGCGGTGGACAAGATCCGAACAAAACAGATCAAGTAGTGTGTCTGGCAAAGCACACACACACACGCACGTGCACACACACATATATAAACACACACACACACACACGCACACAGATACACACACAGAGGCTTACTTCATTTGTCCATAGTCGCACAAGCTGATCCCAGGCAAGCATTAGCTGATCCTCGATATCATCGTTATCGCTGGATACCACAGATCTGACCTGACAGGCAAAACACAACAATGAACAATGAACAACGGACAATGCACTGATTGATACAGTCAACTTCGCTTATAGCGACACTCGGCGGGGCACCGAAAAAGTGTCCTTATTCGCGAAGTGTCGTTATACCCGAAGTCTCATTACCAGTATATGTGTCACAGTTGGATGGGACTTTGCTCTGGGCATGGAAATTCTGTCGTTATTCGCGAATTGTCGTTATACCCGCAGTCGTTATTAGCCAAGTTGACTGTACCGTATGGTATGTCTTTTCTGACTGACGGGCCGGATCCATGCTTGCGGTGAGAACCGGTTGCCTAGCTGCACATAATATTTTATGCTGAGAAGACAATCACTGAGGTGGCCCTTGACAATGCCGGCAGAAACATTGGCAGAAGTTGTTACTTTTTCTGGTGTGTTTTGTCACTTTGCATGTTTGGTATGTGGATAAAGAAATGGAGCAGAATTCAAGGAAGTGTCTGCTATAATGTTTGTATGGTTCTCTGCCAAATTTCACTGTTATTCTAACATAATCTGTCAATTTGAGCGCTATACGCATATGGCTACAAACAGGTGCTGCTGCTGTGAACATCACAATTCGTGGACATACACGCAGCCCCCCCCTCCCCTAATGGTAAACTGGCATGTCCATTCCCGAAGGGAACTCACGACCGCCGCTAACACCAGGTAAACCCTGAACAGCACAATACCTGGACATACACGCAATCCCCTCCCCTTGAGGGTGCCAAAGCCGGTCCAGTTGGCTCGGCTCAAGCCGTACCAATAGACTGGTTGAGTTTTTTTTGAGAGAAAAATATTTTGAGTTCTTCTAACATTTCGCATAGTGCAATGGTGGCAAATGGCCTTTTAAACGGCACGATTTGGCTTGATTTTTCAAGAATCCACAGAGGGAGGTCCCCCTTTTATTACACCCTTTGGGAGAAGCTGCACGAATCGATAATAGCTTCTGATGCCCATGCCCCCCCCCCCCCCCCAACAAAACACATGTGAATACACACCACCCCCACCCCCACACCTTCCCTCCCTCCCCACACACGCACGCACGCACACACCAGGGAATCCAGTGTCCCTCATTGAGGAGACGGAACGATACCTACCCCGGTGCGTATCCAATTTCGACCTTGCTGATGTGCTTGTTCCTTCATGCTTTGTAACATACCCGTGGCATTGCCTTCACCCTGCCACATACTTCAGCAAAGAAAATATGCAGTGCGCCACAAGCACACACACACACACACACACGCACACACACACACACACACACACACACACACAAACACACACTTGTTGCTCACTGCCAAAACTGGTCACGTGGGTCTCCCCGGGAGAGGGGAGGGACTCAAAAGGAATCTTGGAAAGATGACTCAATTGGCTATTGAACCGCCCAACGGCCGACACCCTCTGAAATCCCCAAAACTCTGGATGGACTTGAAAACGATCCCACTTATGGGCTCACCACACCTCAGTAAGTGGGTGAGGACAAGGTGCAGAAAAAGGATTGACGGCATCAGGGTATCCGTACCGGGATCCAACTGCAGTTACCTCTGCCCCTAGTGAAGGTAATACTTGCTACTAGTGTGGGTGGCTAGATTAGAGTGGATCTGATACAAGCTTCACTAGCACCATGATTACACAAGAGTTAATCTAGCCAGAAGTAGTCCATGGTTAACAGGTATGTATACTTCAAATAGAAAGTATATGAACCCTGGAACCAACGAAGGTGGTGGGTACAACATTACACCTTCAAGCAGCCGAGCCTGTTGGCAACAGACCCAACACTATCCGGCAAAAGTGTACCCACCGACCAAACTAGCTGGCACAAACACACACACACACACACTCACACATACACACACAAACACACACACACAAACACACACCGACTGGCTCTTTGTAACACTGTGCACTGTTCCAGGTCATACAAATCCCTGGGCAAGTCTACCAACACAGTCCCACAGCCAGGGAACAAGACAATATTTTGAACACAATTTCAAGCAGAGCAATTCCGGCACTAGCTGGAACTTGCCGTACCGCTCACCTTCTCAACTCTGGATACATCTCAATGACGTGCTGTCCAAGAGTGGTGCTTTGTTGAATGATGTGGCCCCTCTCACTTTGTACCTGCGCGCCATCACCATCCGCAACAAATACAAAACAAACTGAGCAACTGAATGCTGAGCACATAAAACAGTTCAGTGGAAACTGAGTAGCGAAAACTGGGCAGGGGGAACTGGGCAGGGGAACTGGGCAGGGAGAACTATGTAGTGGTAGGAACCGGAGCAGAACCATGTCAGAAGTGTTAAGACTATGTGAGATGCTAATCCAGCCCCCGAAAATTTATCTCTGACAGCTCTCTGAGAGGCTTGGCAGTGATGTAATCAAACTAATCATCTACAGTGTCCCCATTAACACGCAGACTTGACTTAAAGTCTGCGTGTAAACGCATTCTGATGCTTCCAATTGGAGACTCAACATTACAATTCATTTTAGCGTGGCCAGGTCTTACAGTCGCCTTGCTCCTTTCTACAATCTTAAATCCCTCGCCAATACTTCATTCTTCCAGCTAGTGTGCAACCAGATGCACTTATCTAAAAACTACTATAACAGCAGAATTGCCGGGCGGATTTACACAGTTCATGCATATCTCTAGCCAGTGCTTAACTTTGGAGTACCGAATGGGGACTAAAGTGGAAGTGACTGAAGAAGCTTATAGAACAGAAAAGTACCAAGGAACTACAAGTTACGCTATACGCTATACGCGACTGGAGAAGCTTTTGTGAAGTAAGGGATATGAGTCAATCAAGTTGTAAATCGCTTTGAAAAATCGTTCACTACATGAGGCTTGCCCTGCTGGGCTGTGAGCCGTACCTGAACAGCCAAGAAGAATGCCATCAGGAGAGTGGTCACACACAACACTAGGATCAACAGCAAGGGCACAAACTTGTCCGTTGTCGACAGCAGACCACTGACTATCTGAAAACAAGTGATGCGGAAAGTGAAGAAACCAGCAACGGAGAGAGAGAGAGAGAGAGAGAGAGAGAGAGAGAGAGAGAGAGAGAGAGAGAGAGAGAGAGACAGAGACAGACAGAGACAGAGAGAGAGAAACAGAGAGAGACATTGTGACTGCTGAAGGACAATTCTGTGGCAAAAGTAGCATGTGATGGAAAACACAGGCAGATACAATATGAACAATTCGTTCATAGAACACTTAAAAGCAGACTTCCCACTGATTTTTGCTCCAAAATTGTAGGACCTGCATCTGCACCTGCATCTCCACCTGCATCTGCATCTGCATCTGCATCTGCACCTTCATCTGCATCTGCACCTGCATCTGCATCTGCACCTGCATCTGCACCTGCATCTGCATCTGCATCTGCATCTACATCAGTTTGTGGATGAACACCTGCAACCAAATTCTTTAACTTAATTGACTTTAACATAAGCCAATCAAGCAATATCATTTAATACCATAAAAATATTGACACTGCATTTTACATACCTTCTTGTCTCCTTGGCTGATAAATCTGAGGATAGCGCGCATTGGTGGAGGCATGAGCACATCTCGACGCGAGTGTATCCATGTACCGATCAAGTGCTGGGGTCTGGAAAGCTGCAAAATGTGCCACAGAAATACAGCATGAGACTATGTCTTGGGGGGCTAATGCCCACTCAAAAACACACACACACACACACAAACACATCTCCCCTCCCCAAACACGCAAATACACAAATACACGCATATCTCTCTTGCAAATGCCGCCTCGCCTATTGAATAATCTGCGAGGACATAATAGTTTTAATAGAGCTATGATTAAAATGAAGGCCGCAGACATTGCGCAACTCAGTTACTTGTTTGACATGTATGTGTATTTAATAAGTATATAACAACAATAATTCCCAAGCTCTACCTGTAGGATATTCAAACATTACACCCTCCAACAAGACCCCCCCCCCCCCCCCACATACACACACATAACTCGCGTAAGTGCATTTTAGCACAATGAAAGAGACCATTTATGTTGACAGTTTCTTGCTTTGAAAGCACAATGTGAAATTTCTAATCAGAGTAGAGAAATGTAATACAGGGCTGCATACTAACATAGACAATGGTGTCTGCGTGTTTCATATGCAAACAAATAACTGCAGTATTGGCTATAAGAAAGCTCACAGGGCAATAAAAACCTCTCCAGATCCAGTAGCCACTTGACTCTATACTTCAACCTCACGAACAATAACAGGCTTCTACTACCAGATCGATTGTCGTTACTCGCAACGCTAACTGTTCAATGCGTGCTCCCTAGCCCACAACAATTCATTTACTTATAAAGCATCTCCTGGCTCGCCGAAAGACTGCCAAAAGTGAGAATGTGATCTGTTTTGTGTGTATCCGTATTTAACCCTTTGTGTACCAGCCCCATCTGGAACCGTAACGTATGTTACGGTTCGATGCGCCGTTCGGCGGCGTCCTTGCTCCGATCTACTCGCGGTTTGTTGCGCTGGACAGTTGAGATCCCACTGCAAATTTTGATGTATGCTGTGGGTAGGTTGCCATTTGAAAGTATGGAGAACGACCGCGGCGAAACGTGCGCTTTGAAAATTCAGACTCTCCACAGGCCCTGGCCTAAGCCGGGGGGGGGGGGGGGGGGGGGGGGAGGGTCTCCGAGATGAAGGGTGGCGACCAACCACGGCTAACTAATTCGCAACTCACCAGCTTGCGGGTGGTGTCAACAATGCTGAATCGCTCCAGGATGAGTCGTACCACAATCAACGTGGCAGGGATGAGCAGCAAGCACAGCAGCCACGGGAACTTGTAGAGAATGAGAGCAAGGCAGCACCATACAACGACGTAACAGTAGCCACCGCTGTGTTCCAACTCAAGACCAATGAACTCCTGGAATACACTGCGCTTGCGATGGGCACGGTTGCTCCACGAGCGACGCAGTTCGTAGCTGGTGGGAGAGTCGCGTCCTGTTCACACACACACAACACACACACACACACACACACACACACACACACACACACACACACACACACACACACACATTTGTGCGTGCATGTGCACCCACGCACATACACACACACACGCACACACACACATTTGTGCGTGCATGTGCACCCACGCACATACACACACACACGCACACACACATACAAACACATAAACAGACACGTATGCACACACAAAGACATACCAACATGAAAGTACCACACTCAGCACTGCTCCCTAACTGTAACGCATCACGTCTGCATCACGTCTGCATCACGTCTGCATCACGTCTGCATCACGTCTGCATCACGTCTGCATCACGTCTGCATCACGTCTGCATCACGTCTGCATCACGTCTGCATCACGTCTGCATCACGTCTGCATCACGTCTGCATCACGTCTGCATCACGTCTGCATCACGTCTGCATCACGCCTGCATCACGTCTGCATCACGTCTGCATCACGTCTGCATCACGTCTGCATCACGTCTGCATCACGTCTACATCACGTCTGCATCACGTCTGCATCACGTCTGCATCACGTCTGCATCACGTCTGCATCACGTCTGCATCACGTCTGCATCACGTCTGCATCACGTCTGCATCACGTCTGCATCACGTCTACATCACGTCTGCATCACGTCTGCATCACGTCTGCATCACGTCTGCACAATGTCCCATGCCAGTGATGTGCTATACAGTAAAAACACAGTTTACTGGAAAAGAAGGGGATTCGCAGTCATTGAAACAGGACACAATGTTCTGGAGTGAATACCCACGCATATTTCATGCCTTCAAATCTCCCAGCTCGCAGACTTGTTAAACAGGGAGTCGTACATTCTAGGAAGACGACATAGGACGAAGTAACCAATACTGCATGTAACATGCAATCGCAATTCAGGATTTGAACTACTAAATCCTAATGCATTCCAGACATACAAACGAAGCCATGGGCACACAAATGGGCACACAAGTCGGACCTAGCCCAAGAGCGACTGTAATGGGCAGGCCAGAACCAAAACCCACATCAGTTCACGCTCCCAGTGTCTGCTCCAGCGCCGGGTGAGCCGGGTAATCCACCCGGTTGGGCGGCGCTTCGACCCGGTTGAAAATACAGTACCGGGTCACCTGTGACCCGGTTGGTACTTTACACTTTCGAACTTTGAAAGGACTGACTACATGGCTTGTATGAAGGGAGTCGTCAAATATTTGACGACTCCCTGCTTGTATGTGTCAGATATATCATTGGGCCTAGTTATTGTTTATTGTCCGAATTAAAATAAACCAGCCAACCAGTTAAAGCATGTGACTCGGCTGGTAAGACAGCGCCAGGTACATGTGTACCCGGCTCCGACCCGGTTGAAATGGTTGCGCCAGGTACACGTGTACCCGGCTGTCCTACAATCCTAGAGCAGACACTGGTTCCAGGTGCCTGTGTGGTCTCCCTAGATGCTACGACTCCATGAGTTCAACCCACATGTCTGCAACCTCATCTAAAGTAGGTGTTTATGCACACATGCATGCTCAAGAAGGCGCTCACTACATCATCAGCACACACGCATACACACGTGAGCACGATCCACACGCGGTCGACCGAATGGTTACTCGCTCCACACTGCCACGTATGTACATTGCACTGCAAGCACTACCCACACTTTGACAAAGAGAGCTACTTGCTCCAAAGTATTGTACCTGGAGAGGATGGGGGTACGGGTCGTGTATCAGTTTCGTCATGCGACAGTGATGACAGCAGCAACTCGGAAGCCTGTTCTTCCTCTCGATCTTCATCTTCATCATCATGCTGCTCTGCGGAGATAAGGAAAATGGGGAGATAAAAAACGAAAAAAGGTAAATTATCGTGTCCGTTCCCGAAGGGAACTCACGACGACCGCTAACACCCGGTAAACCCTAGCGGCAGACGCAGAGCCTAACGGTGGAGGTGAGTGGATAAGTCTCACAACCATTGGCACAAGTGCCGAGAAACGGGGAGATAGGTACATGGAATATACACATTGAGACTAAGGGGCAAATGCAGTCAATTTGTCACCAGCAGAAACAATGCTCTAGAAGGATAACTAGATGTCGGTTCCGGGAAATTGGGATTCACTGACCTATTCCAGACTAAAGGAAATCAAGAATTCGCATCACCAACACCAGCTCATTCTCATACTGTCCTTATGCTGCTCTCGGTCTTTGTCTTTGTATCTCTATCTCTTTCCGTCTCACAAATAGTACCTCCTTTAGAAAAATAATTGTTGTACAATATCAGCAAAATGTCTGGCAAGATCCACCACCAGAATGAACTTGAAGACTCCACTGCAGCCGTATTTGCTGTTGGATAAGATGTAGGCGAAAAGACTAAATGCACACCCTGCATTATGACGATAAACACACGCCAACCGCAAACACCTCTCTAAGCTGAAAAGTTACACTCCGGCATAAAGAGTCTTCTTCTCACAACCACCGCCATCAGTTCGCGCCTGGTTGATGCATGGCGGGTGAACGCGGACATAGCAAGCTGGCGCATAAGACAGTGCTTGACAAGGCGCAAGATTCGAACCGATATACAGTTGCGTTCGGTAAAATCCGACCCAACGTGCAAAGCTGTCGCCCTGGACCAGTTTTGATTACATCATTGTGCAATGTAAATTGTGCACATCAAGCAGCATTCGGGCCACTTCCACGGCATCAAGGGCCGTGCAAGTTGAGGACGCGAAATATACCCTTTGGGTCAGATTTCACAGAGTACAACTTAACCAGGGTGTACCTATGCAGCCTAGACAGCCTGGGTGTGCCAGGCATGTGCAGACCGTCATTTAACCAGGTGTGTCGCTACCGCTATACTATTCAACCATGGCTCATCAGCAGAACGAAACCTAGAGAAATAGATGAGACAAAGTGAAGGACACAGGTGCAGCCGTGGCCCAATAAATCTGACCCACATGCCGAAAGCAGTACCAAGGCTCATGCGACTGCTGCAGCCCTCGCATAGGCTTATTGGACCGTGTACGACGAAATTGAATAGGAAACTTGACGATACTTTCGACTCGTGGGTCAGATTTCTTTGGCCCCGACTGTATAAGAATACAAGCAGCAATGAAATTACTTATCTCAAAGCTGTCCAGCTAGTGCACCCAGAAGACACAACGATGTCACAAGGATGATGAGTGAGAGTCGATACGATGGCACCAGAGTAGCAAGGTAGAGCAGAAAGGTGAACCAGACGATGGAGGACAGGTGACGCATCACGTGCCGCGTCCGGCCCGACCAGAAGAAGACGATGAGCACCGCGTAGCCCGCAATGACCGTCTACACCTGCCTTGGAGCACACCAGCATGAACATTGTGCTGCAATGAATACGTTGAACGACAATTGCTTCTCTATTGACGTAGCTGGTTAGTGTGATGGCGAGACAGCCCGGGGGGGGGGGGGGGAGAGGGGGGGGGGGAGGGGGGGGGGAGGGTTACTGATTTGTTGTGATGTATTTAGTCACCGACTGTGAGTAAACAACTGAATACCGTATTTTCAGGAATATATGCCGCACGGGAGAAAAAGCGGCACCCCCATTGTTTTGGGCACACAATACAGATGTCTACCTTATTTATCACCGTTAAATTGATCATCGGAGTATAAGTCCCCCCAATTTTTGGGGGGGGGGGGGAGGTGAATTTGAGTGTTCAAAGTGCGGCTTATACTCCGTAAATATACGGTAACTAGAGAGTCAAAATGTTCCGAGTTATGACTAACTGTCCACTAACGTAACCAGATCTTATACAGTCAGCCATACGGTCATAACTCGTAACATTTTGTCCTTCTCCTTTTTCACCATAATTTAATCGGCTCACCATCCGAGTTCAATTAGAGAGTCCATTGCATTATCACAACACACTCACCAGATAAATGTAACCGTAAACTCTGACGAACTCCATGAAGTGCGATGCTGTGTCTAGACCCTCAATAGAGCGTTGCAGCGCAGCGAACACTGGCAAGTGATTGAGAATGTAAACACATGTCAGCAGGCCCGCCATGCACGCCATGGCCTTCCACTGACGATACAGAACATCCTGCGACGTACGACAGGCCAGGCCAGGCCAGGAAATGCAGCGGCAGCACGATTATTCCCAGCCACAGTGGTGTGTTGTTAATCTGCATGAGCCGGAGCCTCGCGTTCAGGACGTGCGTGCTGCGATGCTTGATCGGGAACAAGAATACTCCGCACAGCACAGCCCAGAGGAGAGGTCTCAGAAATGCAGAGAACACCTGATACAGTGCGAACGCTACGATGCCCACAATCACAACAAACACATTGGCTGCCGACTGGTAGAACGCTTTGGTCACTTCGGTCTTGTTCAGTGCCTCTTCGCCCAGCAGTCGGCCTATCGTATAGTCAAACAACGTATCCTCGAGTGAATTCTGAAAAATCATCCGTCGTCTCTGACCCATGGCGGATCTACCGGAGCGAGCTGAGAAGGCGGCGGAAGGTAGCGATACCGATGGATCGTCATCGCTAGCGCTGCCAGTAGCGGTAACACAGGCATCATTTTTATCCCAAAGGCGTTTCGGGGGTGAGGCAGAAACGAGAGCCACTATTTTATTCGGAGGGTACGACTTGGAATGTTTCAATGAGTCCAATGAAAATTATCTGCATGCAGCGTAGCTGGACAGATTGCTTTTCAAAGCAAAAACAATCAACAAACAGAAACACAAACAGCGAAAACAAAAGCATTTTTCTACATCCACAAAAAAATTACGTAATCTTTCGGTTTTGAAGGCCGCGCATTAAGGGTTTCCAGATTATTCGCAAGAAATTGCGTATTATTGAGATGCAAGATATTGTAGTCGAGCATCAATTCAAGATTCAAATCCAAAAAATGGTGCTATGCGAAAAATGTCTAAAAAATATTCAAAAAATCACTCAAAACCCGAAAATTATCTACCCGTTGCCATGGCAACGATGACGTAACATTATGCATGACAGCGCTGAGCTCAGATCAGAGGCCACGTGCACTGAAGTCGAAATTTTTTCAGGCCCATCGTGGCACGTGATCGGTGCCTTTGGTCCCCCAGATTTCCAAAACACCTCAAAAAGAGGTCTAAAAAAGGTAGAATTTGGTCAAAATTTCCGGAAAACTGTCGAATTTGCGAAAAATCACGGAAAAACAGCAAAATTCGAAAAAATCCAAAGATCCAAAAAACACCCCAGGCATTATTCAAAAAGATAATCTGGAAACCCCTACCGCGCATTAGGCCTTTCCGGATTATGCGTTTTTTCCTGGTCTAAAATGGAAATGGAAAGTGTTTTGAAAAACCCGGCGCGCGCGCATGGCATATGGCGCCCAGCGCACGTCACGTGCACGCGTAGATCTACGTGTACGTACATGTACATGTACATGTACGTGTGGTTGGACTTGTCTTTCTACATACTGTAAAAGCCATTTATAGGGGAAGTTAAGGTGGCAGACTACCCAAAAATTCGCTGAAAAATCGAATTTGTAAATTCATATTGAGTGCTACGTCAGTTGAAAGAGCATGAATAGCTGCAAATTCTCTGAAAATTGGGTCCCGATCTGACCGGCCGTTCAAGAGTTATGGCCGAAAATGTGCCCTTGGCCCCTTGCAAGGAAAGATTTTTTTGTTGCACGCTGTCATTTGTTGGCAGCACTGTATTTGAAAGTGAGCAGACCGTGCGCAACTTGTCGTATCATGGAAACACGTGAAAGTGTGCAGAATTTTGCTCCAAGTCCAAAAAATCAGGTTTTTGAGCCACGTATTGGGCTGCAGGGCGGCGGGCGAAGCCCGCCGCCGTGCAGCAGAACTTTTGCCGGCACCCTCGTGACGTTGCAGATATGTGGCTTGATTATTGTAGTTGACGTTGATTTAGTGACTTTGGCAAGTTTGAGTCGTGTCAAGAAGTCAGGTAGGATTCAGTACTAGGCAGTAGTGAAACGTGAGTGGTAGTCTTTGCCGGTTTCTGAGGGCATCCTGGATTTGGTGTGCAGCGCTGTGGAAATGGGTTGCTGTGGAGGTCCCAGCACTGGATGTTGTATCAAAGGTACGACCTCGTAGCACGTGCTAAACCTAAAAAAATTCAAAATTGACCTGTGTCTGTGGGAGTGTGTGAGAGAACGCCCACTCGTTCCGATGTGACAGATTCCAGGGCCTCGTTGAGGGGCCCTACCCCATCACCCATGGCTGCTTCTGGACTTGTTCTAGGTTTGAGTCCCGCGCACGAACAGAATGAGCACGAAAATGTGAAAAAATTGTAAATGCATTTGTTTGGCTCCTGGGTGGCTCGCGCACCGTGGCACTATGCCGGAAATTTGAGTTTTTCCGGCCTGGAAAGCCTGTCAGTGAGGCGCAAGAACTTGTAAATCATGTCCTGAGGGCCAGCATAGTGGCAGGAGTGTGGGGTCAAAATTTCACTCAAATCCATTGAGAATCACCAAAGTTACGGTCAATTGAATGCCATATGAAATTTATGGGTAGGCTGCCCCCTTAAAGGGGAAGTTAGGGCAAAAATTAAAATTTCACCAATTGTAGTCTTCGGGGTGCTGAGTCGAATGGTCTTGGTCCGAGAAAGCTCAGACGCTCCCTTCCCACTTGAATCCCAATCGAACTCGCGCACTTCCACCGAAACTGGGTGACTGCGCCCTACTAGATGGGGATTTGTATGCAAAATGTCACTAAAAGCGCCATTTCGTTCTTATAAAAGCACGGATGACCACGATTGGCCCATATGTTGTAGTCTTTTGGACGCTGAGTCGACTGGTTTTGGTCCGAAAAGGCTGCGATGCAGCGTTCCTCCTTTATTCCCAATCGAACATGGTTGAACAAGCGGTCACATGCTCCTGCGTACACCAGTCACCTGGTCACCGTGCCTGCAGGGTACAACTTACTAGCCTTTTTTGACCTTTATTGGGTGCAGTCCTGTCACTCGAGTTGAACTCGAGTTGAACCTTGGTGTGAAAGTTGTCGCCTGCTGGCGTGGTGACCAGGTGATTTGGGCACCCAGGAGCACGGGACCACTTGTTCAACCATGTTCGATTGGGAATAAAGGAGGAACGCTGCATCGCAGCCTTTTCGGACCAAAACCAGTCGACTCAGCGTCCAAAAGACTACAACATTGGAGCCAATCGCGGTCATCCGTGCTTTAATAAGAACGAAATGGCGCTTTTAGTGACATTTTGCATACAAATCCCCATCTAGTAGGGCGCAGTCACCCAGTTTCAGTGGAAGTGCGCGAGTTCGATTGGGATTCAAGTAGGAAGGGAGCGTCTCAGCTTTCTCGGACCAAGACCATTCGACTCAGCGCCCCGAAGACTACAACTGGTGAAATTTTAATTTTTGCCTTAAAAAAAAAAGTAAATAATCGTATCCGTTCCCGAAGGGAACTCACGACGGCCGGTAACACCCGATAAACCCTAGCGGCAGATGCAGCGCCTAACGGTGGGTAACTTCCCCTTTAATTTAAAGGGAAACTGAACGCCAAAAATAAGTATGGCTTATCCGAAGGAGAATTGGGCAGCTGCACTGATTCCGATGAGCTATGTCTCGAGCCGATCAGAGAAGAGGAACCGTGTCAAATTTCATAAACAACACCTTCCATATTTGGAAATTGGGCTTGATGACGTGCGTATTGCTTAGCTGTCACCAAAAAAGACTCACCATGCTGTGCATGCTCAGCAGTGTAATTGAATGGAAGAAAACAATTACTTTGGTGTTTTGCAGCTCTATTTCGTTCCCTGATGGTAACCAAATCTAGATGTAGGAATCTGTTGAGCAGGAGAGTGACACATGTCTTCCCGAAGGCTGTCCAGCCTGCAGTGGTGATGAAGAAGACACGAATAACACCCCAAGATCGATTGTAGGCTACTAGCGAATTGAAAAACTCATGGTGGATATATTTGCTTCCACTCCAAGGCAATTATAGCAATAAAAACTGCTTTATGGCAGCTTTCTAATAAAGTTTATTGTGTTCTAGTCCTGGGTGTGGCCTAGGCTATAGAAAATTTATAAAATTGCTTCCAAACTGCCTTGGACTCCGTCTAAAAAGTAAGAAATTAACGAAATGTGATTGCCGAAAATTAAAATTTCACACAAAACCTCACAATAATCACAATACTTGACAATCAAATACTGCTTTCAACACTTGTTTAGTCTGACACTGTACTTGTACTTGTACTGCACCAACATGCATGCATGGGAAAGAGGATCACGAGGAGAAAAGGTCTTCTAGCTTTTCATCCTGTGTGTGATTATTGTGAGGTTTTGTGTGAAATTTTAATTTTCGGCAATCACATTTCGTTAATTTCTTACTTTTTAGACGGAGTCCAAGGCAGTTTGGAAGCAATTTTATAAATTTTCTATAGCCTAGGCCACACCCAGGACTAGAACACAATAACCTTTTTTAGAAAGCTGCCATAAAGCAGTTTTTATTGCTATAATTTCTTTTGTTTTTTTGTCGCAGTAATGTAGTTAGTGTGTGTTAGCATCCACCGATCACACTGCCATGTTTGCATCTGCCGCGCACCGCTGCATCGGTGCATTGTGCACTGCACTCACACTGCCAGCGCATAGATTCGGGCACGCTTGGCCTGACGTCACACAACTGCTTCCTTTGAACTTTTGCTCACTGCACTCACACTAGTACACTGCCAGCGCATGGATTCGGGCGCGCTTAGCCTGACGTCGTACAACTGCTTCCTTTGAACTTTCTCTTTCTTTCTTGCTGTTGGCTTCACTTCAAAGACTAGTCTAATTAGTGGTGACTTTTAGCTTGTGCCAGCACCAAATTTTCGCTTGTGCCAGCACCAAATTTTCAGTTTGGCTTCTAGCTTGTGGTAGCTTTGAGTAACTAATTAGCCACACGCTTCGATTGTGTTCAGCTCGTACTGTTGGTGCCTGAAACAATGTCGTCTATTGTGCATCGGATGCGGGTGGCAGAACTGCGAGCCGAGCTGGACGATCGAGGTCTGCTGACCACCGGAAAGAAATCCATTCTGGTTCAGAGATTGCTGGACGACATGGAGAGAGAAAACCTGGGTCCAACTCAACCTTCAGCAAACGACTCTGCCGAACCCACTGTGGATACATGCGAGGTGCTCGCCGATCCCCCGGTCACCTTGGATCCGACTGGTATTCGCGAACTTATTCGGGCTGAAGTTCGTTCTGCCATCACAGACGAGATTGGAGCCTCTCTTCTGTCGCAGCCAAGTGCGGCACCAGCGCCACCAGCTGCGTCATCCGACATTGGCATGGGTGCTGCGTGCTCCACACCGCCTCACGCTGGAAATCTGCACGTCCCAAAGTCGGTGCAGGATAGGATATTGCGAGGTGAGTTTGTGGACTTCGACCAATTGTTGCCTGAGATCTTGGGGGCAGTGGATAGCAATAAGTCGTTCGAGCTCAGATCCAGTTCACCCGGGGGTGCACTGGAAGTCGTAGAGGTGAACACCACTCGCCCGGTTCGTAGACGTGTGCACGATATCGCCACTTGGTTAGAAGCATGGTCTCTGTATATGCATGTTGTGATCAGCAATGCACCCCACCGCACAGCAGAACTCCTTTCATACCAGTGCATGATCTTGGCGGCCAACAGGCAGTATTTTGCAGAGGCTTGGCTTATGTATGACCAGCAATTTCGAAGGCTTGTCGCTTCACAACCTGGCAAGCGCTTTGATACGATTGACATAAATACATGGCAGCTGTGCATCACAGGCAAGGCCAGGCATAGATGTCAGTCGTGCAGCCTTGTCCACCGCGGCTGCAAGCAACATGTGTCCTTTTCGTCCCAAACATGCACACCAAGCTCAAACATCATCATCCTCACTGCTCACCCGCAACAACGCAGGTGCCGTCATCTGCCGAAACTTCAACCTTGGCAAGTGTAGCTGGTCAAATTGCCGGTTCTCCCACATCTGCAACCGCTGTGGCAAGGACCACCCCCGCAGCAAGTGTTCCGGCAAAGGTCAGCGACCAGCCCAGTAGTTCGGGATTGCAATCCCAGCCTGAGCAACCAATAACTGTTGCATGTGTACATAATTTTGTTCCCGCTCACATTAATAATTCCTCTGTACATACCCCTTTGCATGTCTCTCGTTTTGAGCTTCTATTGCGTCATCACCCCGATAAAGAATTTGCTTCCTATGTGCTAAACGGGCTGCGCTACGGCTTTAGCATAGGTTTCACTGCTTCACGCGACGTTTCTGTCCAGTCTGCTAATCTGCCATCTTCTGCTGCTTGTGCCTCCTTTATTTCTGACCAGCTTTATGCTTCTTGCCAGCGTGGCGAAACTGCTGGTCCTTTTAGTGCAGCCCCGTTCACCTCCATGCGCTGCTCTGGTGTCGGTGCGGTACCGAAGAAGAACGGCAAGCTTCGTATGATTCACCATCTTTCTAGCCCCGCCGGTAATAGTGTGAACGACGGAGTTCCAGCTGACCAGTTTTCCCTGCACTACATCAGTATTGACGATGCAATCGAGTCTATTATGTCCTCACCTCAGCCGGTGTACCTCGCAAAGCTGGACATCAAAAGTGCATTCCGGCAAATCCCAGTTCGTGCTGAAGACCACTCACTACTCGGCATATTCTGGCAAGGCAACTACTATTACGAGCGGGTGCTACCGTTTGGGCTTCGCTCCAGCCCAGCCATTTTCGATTCCGTTGCCTCGGCCATAGAGTGGATTATCCGGAACCATTTCTCCATTGCCGACCTATTCCACTACTTGGACGACTTCCTAAACGTCACAACTGGCTATACTGTCGCCCAGCGTCAACTAGCAATCCTGCTGCGAGCCTTCATCTATTTGGGCGTGCCGCTAGCGCCAGCAAAGGTGGAAGGTCCCGCGAGATCACTGACGTTCATCGGCATTATTCTGGACTGCGAGCGGCTCGAGGCCAGGCTCCCCATGGACAAGCTCAACGACCTCCGATCGCTATTGGCCAGCACGACCAACAGCCGGAAGATATCCCAACGCCAACTCGAGTCCCTATTGGGTAAGCTCTCGTTTGCTGCCCGTGTCATCACTCCAGGCCGTACCTTCATGCGTCGTCTGTGGTCCCTCTGCTCACGGTTTCAGCAACCACACTACTCAATAACTTTGACCCAAGAATGCGTGGATGACCTGCTATGGTGGATGAGGCTACTAAGTGAGTGGAACGGGAAGTCCTTCTTCTTGCACCCTAACTGGACCCCATCACCAGATCTCCAGCTATACACAGATGCAAGTGGCACTCATGGCTGGGGTGCTTACAACAACGGGAAATGGATTCAAGGTTCATGGAACAGTGCCCAGATGCGGCAGTCTATTGAGTGGAAGGAGCTGTTTGCCCTCGTGGCAGCCTGCGCCACATGGGGCGACGAATGGGCTAAGCTCCGGATTCGGGTACACTGCGACAACTCGGCGGTAGTGGACTGCATCCGTTCGGGCACGTGCAAAGCCCCAGCTGTGATGAAGTTGCTACGCGAACTGTTCTTCGTTTGCTATGAGTTCAACTTTCATGTTAGCGCTGTGCACATTGCCGGCTCCAAGAATGTCATTGCAGATTGCCTTTCTCGTTTTCTTATGCAGGAATTTCGACGTCATGCTCCGTTAGCGCGGCCGAGTCCAGACCGTGCTCGTCTTCCAGCAGTCTTGTGAGTGAAGTTACTAAGTACGCTGCCTGTGCAATTGCTGCTAATACCAGACGCACCTACTCTGCCGGTGAGCGTCGTTTTGTCAGTTTCTGCTCCCTTTGCAATCTGCAACCTTACCCAGCTTCTGATCTTACCCTCAGCTGCTTTGGCGCTCTTCTTGCTCGCTCTGTCCGCCCTTGCACGATATCTGTTTATTTGCAAGCTGTACGGAATGCACACATTGAACAGGGTCTAGAGGATCCCCTGATCGAGACCTGGCTTCTCAAGAGAGTGTTGAAGGGTGTTCAGCGGTGCCATGGGACCGAGACAGTAAAGCCTAGATTGCCCATAACTATGCCAACTCTAAGGAAATTAGTCGATGCCTGTGATCACGTCCCCGTGTTGCCCGAGCATGACCGAGTTCTCTTCAAGTCTGCTGTGCTGTTGGCATTCTTTGGTTTCCTAAGGTGCTCCGAATTTACAGAGGGCCTTACAAGAGAGTGTATCAGATTTGAGTCGGGCAGCATGACCATCCTGCTAAAGAGATCAAAGACAGACCAATTTGGAAAGGGAGTCCATATTGTCATTGGACCGGCCGGTCGCCCTTACTGCCCTGTGTATGCTATGCTACGCTACCTGGCGATGATTGGCAGTCGAAACGCATCCACTCCTCTGTATGTACTTGCCAAGGGTGTGCCGTTATCCAGAGCTGTTTTCACCAGTACTGTGCGCTTGCTGCTTGAAAAGGCTGCGGTGCCAAACATCGAACTCTACTCGGGGCACTCATTCCGAATTGGCGCAGCTACTACCGCTGCCATGGCAGGGATACCTGATTCGCTGATTCGTTCTGCCGGCAGGTGGCAGAGCGATGTGTGTCTACGCTATATGCGAATTCCAATGGAGACCAAGTCCAAGATCTCGGCTCAGCTTGCCTCAGTGAGTGACCTTATCTGATTCTTTGCACGGACAGTTTATGTTCCATCCCTGAAGTCCTAGCATAGGAATGTCACTGCTCGATAATTTCTTAATGCTGGGCGGGGGGTTGTTCGGGGATAGTGTTGCTGCTTTGTGGAGCTCTATCGCTCCTAACTGGTCACTTGCTTCGCTAGTTGCGGCTCTTCACGAGCCAGTTGTTGCCAATTGCATTGGCTTTGCCTTGCAACCCCATTGTGGCACAATGTGGGTTTATTGCGGCTCCTCGCGAGCCAGTTGCTGCCAGTGGCCTGGCATTGCTTTCCAGCTCTTCGAGCTTTTGCATTACAAGACCAGTTACTCGAAGCAGCACACTATCTCCAAAACAATTCCTTGTTGCCTTGGGCTGAGTATGAGTGTGTGAGGGATATGGTGCTAATGTCGCAGTAATGTAGTTAGTGTGTGTTAGCATCCACCGATCACACTGCCATGTTTGCATCTGCCGCGCACCGCTGCATCGGTGCATTGTGCACTGCACTCCCACTGCCAGCGCATAGATTCGGGCACGCTTGGCCTGACGTCACACAACTGCTTCCTTTGAACTTTTGCTCACTGCACTCACACTAGTACACTGCCAGCGCATGGATTCGGGCGCGCTTAGCCTGACGTCGTACAACTGCTTCCTTTGAACTTTCTCTTTCTTTCTTGCTGTTGGCTTCACTTCAAAGACTAGTCTAATTAGTGGTGACTTTTAGCTTGTGCCAGCACCAAATTTTCACCCTCCATCCCTCCCATTTGATCATCTTGCTAATGGTACTATGGGACATTTAGCTCTATCGCTCCTAACTGGTCACTTGCTTCGCTAGTTGCGGCTTTTCACGAGCCAGTTGTTGCCAATTGCATTGGCTTTGCCTTGCAACCCCATTGTGGCACAATGTGGGTTTATTGCGGCTCCTCGCGAGCCAGTTGCTGCCAGTGGCCTGGCATTGCTTTCCAGCTCTTCGAGCTTTTGCAGTACAAGACCAGTTACTCGAAGCAGCACACTATCTCCAAAACAATTCCTTGTTGCCTTGGGCTGAGTATGAGTGTGTGAGGGATATGGTGCTAACTGTCACCAATCAATGGAATGCCCTTATGTAAATGATGGCCTTCACATCATATCTTTCTTTTTCCCTCCCCTTACTTTTATTTATCGCCGTGGTTAGCAATCACCCACTCTCTTAACATTGGCCGGTGTTTCCACCGAGTCTTGAGATGTTGTAATAAATATAAAATATAAATATCAATACCGTATTATACGCATTGATGTGCAAGCCTTTTCTTGCAGAAAATGGCACTAGCATAATGCATGTTCTTCTGCGGGGGAAACATGTGGTTAGTGGTGGGGATACTTTTTTATACGCAGGTCATTCTGTACATGTTGCTGTTGCAGAATTTCATGACTGTCATAAAATTGTCTTGCCTTGCCCTTTCAGATATTTCAGATTTCCCCACCCTCGATCAGATTTACTTGAGAAATGTAGCCAGGTGCGTATCGCAGATGTTTTTGTTGATTCTGTGTTTATAATTGTTTATAACCATGGGTTATCGTGATAAGGTCATCCGGCATCATATTGCACTGAAATCGTAATCCTGTTGATGTCGATACAACTTTTGGAAGTAGTTCAATGACTTCAAACTGTTAGTCCTCGATTTTCTAAAACAACACAGCAAAGGAGGAACAATAAACATGTATTAAAATGTAAACAAATACATTGTTGAGTCCGACACCTCGTTCCAACAACTACACTGATCCTGAGGATAAAAGGGGCAAGGCTATGGTTGGAGGTTATTATTATCAAATTGTCAAATTTTCGATAGAGCAATCCCCACAGGCCTAAGGCCTTCTTACAGGGTACCCTGGAGGTACTGAGAGATAAACAAGGCACTCCATAATAATAAAATGCTACACATCTTTTGGAGAGTATGAATGATATCCAGTCGAACCTCTTTAGGACGAAAACCAAGGGACCGATGGTATTTATTCTGTGAGTTTGTCTTAACCTATTTTGTAACCAGTGAATACAATTATTTCTCCAATAGACATATGAATAGATTTCTTCTGCAGCGAAAGATTCTAAGCCACACCGACTCATTGACTCGTCTAGGCGTCTTGTATGAAACAAATGAGGCACTGAACCTTTTTCTTTAGTAACATGACGGCAACTGAAACAGCAACAGAGAAAGTACGATACATGTACAGCACATTCTCGCAGGTACTACAAACAGATTGCAAATCGTAATTCTTGCTTTGGCGGCACGCAACTTTATTTGGTGCAGTGCAATCTCGGCGGTACTCACAAATCAAACAGCCCAGACTCGAGTAAACAGATCCAATTATACAAGTACGAGATTTTCACGAGACAAGACTGCACCCATTGGCTTGTTTCGTATGAAGCAAACAAGTCACTGAACCTCTCCATAATGGAGATGTTCCCTGATATGCGAATTTATTTTGCATACTCGGTCAATGGGTCCTTGAACCTTTCCTTCCAGATTGGGAACTGCCAACGATAGTATGCCACTGACCAGTTCCTTACTTGTAACGTACCAATGTACAATGAACATGAGTATTTCGACAACACATCTAAGCCTCAGCAGCAACATAAGCCTTACCGTCAAGAAGGTGAACTCGCGTTCTTCGCACACTGTAGGCAAGGGCAAAGAGATAAAAATTGATCTAAATCCGAATAAAATCAGCACACGTTATCAGGTATCCTGGGGCGGACGAGATAAATGAAAGGGTGAGCATAAGCAAATGAATCGAAGGAAACTGGTCAACTCAGAGATCACCTGTCATTGAGTATTCCGTAAAAGGACGTCTCGGCAGCGGAAAAGCAAAATTTAGAAAAGAGATCCTGTCAGCTTTTCCATATGTATTGCATTCCACCCAAAATCAGCACACTTTTCGTAAATGAAAGAGTCAACACAAGCAAATGAATCAAAGGGAACTGGTCAACTCACCTGTCATTGAGTAATATTCCGCGAAAGGAGGTCTCAGCAGCGCCGAAACGAAACAGCTCATGCAAGAAGCAGTTCCAAAGAAGGAAGTTCCTCGTGCATGCACATCCGAAAAGGCAACAACAAAAAGTACAAGTCTACAATGCACACGCATGCGGCGCCGGCCAGCCGCGCGATGGTAGGAGCCATAGAGTAGCTCCCTGGTCCAGGGCCAGGTACCGAGCATCTTACGTAGAAACTTACGTAGCTACGTAGACAACGTGTCTGAATAGCGGTGTCGTTCGGTAGCGCCATGTGAACACAATAATAGAAAAGCTGACAGGATCGCTTTTCTAAATGTCGAGGTATGAAGGGTGCTTGTACTGCCTTCCAAAGTGAAGCGGAGATGAACATGGCTTTGCATAGCTGTTGTTCTACGCCAACTTACCTACTCTTCCTGGTACCGTAGTGGTATATTGCAAATTTCGTGGACGAACAATTCGAGTCACTAGTGGCTAGTGAGCAACACTAACAGGTGAGATTTTTCAATTTGACAAAAATTGTTCTTGTTTGAGAACAGACGGTGGCAGTCATTAGACTCAGTAGGTGTCTCTCTGCGGCTTCTTTCCCTTCATCGATAGGGTTGTGCTTGAAGTCGAAATAAATAGAACATGTGGAACAAAAATCTGATCATGTAATTCGAATTTCAATTTCAAAGTATGTGTACATCAAATCACAAAAATTTCAATATGATGCTGTGCACTGAAAAAGACTGGGAGCTGGCAGCAATGGAAAGGGTAGAAACGAAACCAGTAAAGTAGAGTATTCATAAGGTAGAGGGAGTTGAAAACGGGAGACGAGTAGTGAGCATTTCAGTTCGAAGTAGTGTCAATAGACAGCATCGTGTTGCATATGTTGTGAATATTGTGCAAATCTAATAATTGGCAGAGGGTAGTGATTAACGCAGAATATTGTTACAATACGAGGTACTTTGTGAGCAGATAGCAATCAATATCACGACATGGTTTAGACAGGAACTCATAAATGTCAAGAAATTGATAATCCAAAATTATAATTACTTGTATTATCCCCTGAGTGGTATAATTATTATGGTGTTCTCCTGTGTTTACATGCAGAGCCTTGACGTTGCTGGACGAGCGACAATTATATTACATAAACTTGTAGCTCATAATGTGGGATGACTGCCGTATTGCATTGCCAACGCAAACCCATCCTGCGTCAGTGCAGCCATCCAGCAACTTGTACTCCCCGGACCAGATGTCGCTGCAGCTGAACACCATGCCGATGGAAAGCCAGGAGTTGATGGCGAAGCGTTCTGGTCTGCACAGTACAAGGCAAAGAACAATTATGAATTATAACGCATTGTAATCCTTCCCACACGTCTTTGTAAAAACAAACAAACAGTGCCATTATCACAACACTTGATCAAGCATCTTAATGAAGGTATTTTCCATTGTGCTGGCCTAGCATCTGCACCAGGAAGACCATGTACACTTAGGGGCCGTCCGTAAATATCGATGTTTTTTTAGAGACGATATTGGTGCTTCTCTCCCTTGACCCCCCCCCCCCTCCCCCCAGAAGACGCACATGCCCATCTAGATCATGGAATCAATATTTTTGGATGCTCATTTTTTTCCTTTTTGTCAATAATATGAACCCAAGATGGCAAGTTTGCAGTATTTATATGGTCTAATTGAGAAGGAGAGCATTATGACTTTTTTGGTCGCCCTCGAGAACACTTGTGGCCAGCAGCCTTCTTGTGCTGCATTAGCCCATAGTAGGTGGTGAAGGCTAAGCCACAAGTAAAGTATCTTGTGTGTGTTTGTGCGTGTGTATGTTTGTGTATCCGTCTGTGCACACGTGTGTGTGTGGGGGGGGGGTAGACGCATATGTGTATGGGTAGGAGTGTGTGTGTGTGGGGGGGGGGGGGTCACGCACATGTGTATGGATGTGCGCGCTGCATGCGTGTGTCTGTGGGATGGGGTGGGGGTGCACGCACATGTGTACATGTGTGCGCGCAATATATAATGTGTGTATTGTGTTCGTTGAACACAGGGAGTCCTCCTGATTCCATAAACTTTATGATCATTGTGATTTCATGTGCTTTGAAGTTGAAATTCGCAATACATGTTCTGATGCTTGATTAGATTTATGTTCTACATGTTACGAAGTAGTGGTTGCGACTTCGGCGATGATTTGTAAGAAAGGTTTGCTCCCCACACCGGAGCTCGCGCTATTCCGCCGACTTTACTTGACACTTGACTGACTCACGACTGCCATCCAGAGCACACGAGAAGTCCATCGAACCTTCGACACACATGTTCTTTTTATTTTATTTTACAAGTTCAAGCACAATCCTACCAATGAAGGGAAAGAAGCAGCAGAGACACCTACTGAGTCAAATGACTGCCACTGTCAGTTCTCAAACAAAAACAATTTTTGTCAAATTGAAAAATCTCACCTGTTAGTGTTGCTCACTAGCCACTAGTGACTCGAGTTGTTCGTCCACGAAATTTGCAATATGCCACTACGGAACCAGCAAGAGTAGGTAAGTTGGCGTAGAGCAACAGCTATGCAAAGCCATGTTCATCTCCGCTACACTTTGGAAGGCAGTACAAGCACCCTTCATACCTCGACATTGCCTTGGAGTGGAAGCAAATTCACCATGAGTTTTCCAATTCGCTACAATCGATCTTGGGGTGATATTCGCGTCTTCTTCATCACCACTGCAGGCTGGACAGCCTTCGGGAAGACATGTGTCACTCTCCTGCTCAACAGATTCCTACATCTAGATTTGGGTACCGTCAGGGACGAAATAGAGCTGCAAAACACCAAAGTACATGTGTAGCCACCTGAATAGCTTTTGGCGGAGGGCAACGGCGGCACCTCGTTGGCTGCCTCTATCGCCCACCGAATGCAACTGCTGATTTCTGGGGCCACCTGGACTCAGTCCTCCACAATGCTGCCACAATCACACCATCAATGACACTGGTGGGTGACTTCAT